TTTTAATGTTGAAATCTTCTTTAAAGTAACCTTAATGATACTCCGTCGTATCTTGTACATCTAAATCCCAACACATTATCAACAGATTCATAAAAAATGGGGGGCTTTAATCAATGTACGACTTAAGTCATTATTTTTCCAACTTTTTTAAAGACTGAAAAAATCTTTAAGTTGTTGTTGTGGCATTTCCGTGAAACGATAAACACTCACTTGAACGCAACGAGGTGTCACTTTCACTACTAGAGGTGGTTTAATTTCCGAGCTTTCTATACGTACATGAAGGGGGCGGGGCGCTCTGATTGGCTGCTGGTCTGGGCCAAACACAGTTCAGCGCCACACGCTCGGAGCAGAGAGCCGCAGCTGTCCGTCCGACACGAAACAAACTCTGCTGACTGGAAGAAGACTCTGAACTCGACTTTTAGGAAGTCTTTACCTGCGTACACCTGAGAAGGAAAGGCCTCAAGTCTCGCGTGAAGTGCATCTCCCGCGGTCTCTTCTGCTTGGAGTGAGCTAGCTTAGCCTGTTAGCCTAGCAGGACAACCAGTCACCCGCGTCCGTCCGTGCGGGACTCTTTCTGTCCACCCTCAGGAGACAAACCCACGGAGCTGCACCAGAACTGATCCACACTTTGACTTCAACCCGCAGCTGCACGATCCGGATCCGAACTCGACTTTTGCACGTCAAGTTTCAACGAAACGGCAACAAAACACAATCTGCAAAAACAAGGAAGTGTGAATGAAGTGTGCTGCCAGCTAGCACCTAGCCTGCCCTGCAGCTCAGACTGTGCAGAGTCCTGCAGAGTCTCTTATTGAGTATCTGTGGAAACAAATCAGCCTGTAGTTGATATTCTGACTGTTCTCTACCGGAAACAGTCTGCTGGTGTTCTTTCTTTTCTCCTTAAACTTATAAAATAATAAAATAAAGATGATTCCGGATAAAGCGCCGAAGGAAAACGTCCTCCACGGGTCTGAAGACCTGAAGGAAGAGGCTCACATCTCCAGCTTTGAGAAGTATAAAGAGCTCTACCTGAGATCTATAGAGAACCCGGATGGTAAGGCCTCAGCATGATGTAAAGTACATGTTTGTTCACCTTTGTAACACTTTATGAACAGCTTCATCCAGTCAGAGAAACAGAAACCAGAGAAGAAATAAAGTACAGTAAAACTTTATACTCTATTTAAACTTTAAGCATTTAATATAATAACAAAGAATATGATAATAATCTTAATTAATTGACAATTCAGTCGTAACTATTATGATCAAGAGTTAAAATCTGATTAAAATCTGGAAAATGAGTTATAAAACAAAATAACATAAAAAAGTCATTTATTGTTGTTTGATTGTTTATTGTTACAGCATGACGTCATCTAAATGTTGTTTTTTTTTTACATTTGAAATTAACATACTTAACTATAAATCTCTGATTAAACTTTCTGTTATTGAGAGACATGCTACACACACACACACACACACACACACACACACACACACACACACGACTTAGTGGAGAGATATCAGAGTGGGGCTGCTACACAGGGAGCATGCCAGAGCAGTTGAGGGTTCAGTGCCTTGCTCAAAGGCGACCCTCTGGTTGCCAACCCAAGTCCCTACAGACTGAGCTACTGCCCCCCCCCCCCCCAATCCACGATCAAGGAGTTTACCTGCATCATGTCAAAGGGGAATAAATGTCAAACTTGTAGCAGTTTCCTGCGTGCGTTGGCGTTTGTTTGGATTTGTCTGATGATTAAGAGGTCGAAGTCGGTTATAAAGTCCCAACTTATCAAATATGTTGTTTATCTGCACTTCAAATCATTATCACAACATGGAAAAATAGTTTTGTGCTCTCTTTAAAAATGGCTCCTTTGTCAGCTGCAGCCTGCTAGACCTGAAAGGATTCATCGATAAGTCTGTCAACAAAACCTCGTAATCCAGCCTCGTTTAAAAAAGTAGTATTTGATGTTCTAAATGTAAATGTGACGTGCAGACAGCCGGCACTGAAGGGGTTATTTTGTTGTTTCCTGGTAATAAGGAAGCAGCTATTGTTAATCAAACGGGTCACGCCCTGGTGAAGTGCAGAGGTTTTATGAAGCACTTCAGAGTGAAACTGGAGCGACAATCAAACGGGTTCAGCCCACAGGAGGAGACTGTGAATACACTCTGCAGAGTTTAGAAAGGAAGACGTTTTGATTTGAGGTCACTGAGGTTAACAATAAGTTAATTATAAACAGCCTCGTAAAAGTCCTTTACAGGAGATCTGTGATTATGAGCGGGACAGTTGAAGCGATGAAATCATTAACCAGCTGAAGTTAGAGACAAATGTTGGGAGCCACAATTCTGGCAGTAAAATAAACTTAAAGGAGCAGTACGTAACTCTGACCCCTAGTAATGTGGTGGACTCTGAAGCTTCAGTGTTTATCCAGCTCTGCATGGGTCTGTAAACCTTTCTGTGTTCTAACCTCTCTCCATTTTTCAAAAGCATCTCCAATATTGATCCTAGTTTGAGCACGTTTCTGCTCGTGGAGCTTATTAGAAACATGCAGAGGCTTTTTAGGTCGGGTACAATCACTTCTATCTGAACCACTTCTCTTGACCGCTTCCATCGCTGCAACACCTGTTGACCTGATAACTGCTCTCATATCTGACAAACCGAGGGGCGTCCAAAACGGCCGTGTGGGGGGTCTTAAAAGCGCCTACCTTCTCTGGTCCAAACAAATCCAGAGCATTCAGGAGCAGAATCTAAAGTTAGAAGGAGGACATACTGGCTGCTGCATTGTTGTCAGAGAAGTCTTTAAGGAAACTGAAAATGTAAACAAGGATTATGAGTCGACTTTAAAGATATCCAAAAAAGCTTTTAAACGTTGGACAGAATCACAGATGTTCAGTTCCACATGAAACCTGAAAAGCACCGACGCTTCTGTGTTAAAATGTTTAAATCTTGATTCATAAATGTGCAGGAACCCAGAGTTAGTGATGACTTTTTTAACATTTATGTAATTTTCTTGTATTTATCGTTTCACATGTTAAAGGTTCGGCTTTCCTTTTCTATTTTTTAAGAATGCACAAATAATTCAAAGTTGGTGCCTCGCTGGTTCAGCAGCTGTCAGTCCGGTTCTGACGGGACCGGTCCCTCTGACTGTATCGAGACACATGCAATAATTTCACCTATTGTCATTTTGACAAGTGTCTCATTAAAAGCAGCGACATACCTGCAGCTCCGGTCTGTTGGACGTCACTGAATGTGATTTAACGTTTCCCTCTGCTCCTCCTCTCCTGCAGAGTTCTGGGGAGACATCGCCAAAGACTTCTTCTGGAAGACCAAACACACGGGTCCGTTCCTCGACTACAACTTCGACGTGACCAAAGGAGAAATATTCATTAAATGCATGGACGGCGCCACCACCAACATCTGCTACAACGTGCTCGACCGCAACGTCCACGAGAGGAAACTGGGCGACAGAGTGGCCTTCCACTGGTTAGTGTCACGTTTCATCTGTTGGTTTCAGAGGTGTTACCAAGCAGCAACCTCTGGGGTTAAAAAATGAAGCTGATGCATGAAGTGTAAAATCCTGCAGTTCCTGGAGTGTCCACTAGAGGCTGGCTGCAGAAGCACAGAAAGTCACATACACACCCATTCTGAAAAGCCTGTTTTTACAGCAGAGATGAACATGTTTACAGCCTGGTTCAAAAAACCAAATAGGTGTGATTAGCTCATGTCTGGATGGACACACACTGTACGGGGGGTGAATGTTTTGATGACTCATCAGTTTTGATTTGATGAAGGATAAGAGTTATTCACAATAAGGCGTGTAGCTGACCTGATTGACAGGTGGGCGCGGTGTAACGGTTTGAGAGGAGGTTTAAAACCCGCCTCAGCTCCAGCTCTCACACATGCAGAAAACTCCTGAAAACTTTGTGGTATTTCGTCTGAGGAGCTGCGTGTGTGATCGCGAACAGACACATTTTTTCTGAGTGAGCTGATGTGAGAACGCAGCAGGATATTATCAGGAGAATTCACCTCGAGCCAATAGGAGGGAAAGTGACATTTATATACTGTTAGCATGATACTGCGAGGAGCATATGTGAACGGCCAGGTCAGGAGAATCTCCGGAGCAATCCTCCTGAAATGATCTAGATATTTTCCGGAGTGCCGATGTGAAAACGGCTTATTATCAGCTCTGTACGGTTATTTCTTCTTCTTTCATTTGGTCGCATTATTCTGCAGTTTCAAACCCAACAGGATGTGATTGTGTAAGTTTGTCTTGCGCCAAATCAAGTTCCTCCTCCTAGTTCTTTTTCTTTTCTATCCCCCGTCTTCAACTACGAGGAGAGAAATTAAAAAAGATTATAAAAGAGGCCTTAAAGGCAGAACATGAAGTTTAACAATTTAAAGTTGGACAAACTAAAAAGAAAAGAAGAAGAAGAAGAGCCGAGTGTTGAAGAGAGAAAGCTGCAGGAGAGAAGAGAAGAAGTAGGGAGTGGAAGTTTGTGGGAAAGAGAGAAGAAGACAAAGGAGAGAGGATGCAGCAGCTCCATTCATTCGATCTGCTGCTATTCAGTCCTGTTACTGTGTTCTCTCACACACACACACACACACACACACACACACACACTCACTAACAAGCAGAGAGGAGGCTTTAGTGAAACACTCCCAACAGAAAACACTTTCTCAGGCAGATAGAGAACACAAATAAAACCTGAAGTTTTCGGCGGTATGAAGGGTGCAAAATCAGTAGAATGCGTGTGGTTAAAGGAGATCTATACTCCTCGCTCTCGCCATTGATGATGTCACTGTGGGACACCTGTTGAGTAACGTTTAGAGATTTGTAGCTCAACAAACCTCCTCGTGTATCTGATACTGGCGTCAGTAAAATCCCTCATGTCAGTCTCTTCCTGAAACGCTTCATTTCAGCTGCTGTCTCTTTAAGGCCCCGCCTCCCCACGTGTCCACTCTCCTCTGATTGGCCAGCTCTGTTTGCAATTGCAGTGATATTTTGAGTTGAGGTGGGCGTGTCCTACAGCTCCGCTCCATGATTTTGCTCTAAACCTGACGCCAAGTTCTCGCAACGCCTCGTTCAGAGCAGCAGAAAACATCGTAAATAGATCTCCTTTAAGTTAACTCGGGCGCACTCACTAGACCCAGTTGCTCTGTACCATGCAGAAACACGACTGTTCCCCCTAGTTCTGGACTCGTTCGGGCTCTTCGGATAGGGTTAGGGGTTTGGATAGTGTGAGGGCGGCCTGAGTGATGTAAGAGGTTTTGTGCAGACTCCTTTATGGACGAGTATCAGCTCACATTTCTTACACATCACTGCTCTGTTTCAAACAAACACAAAAGACTCTTCTCTGTCTCACACGCTCTCTCTCCTCTCCCCTCCTCTCTCCTCTCCTCTCCTCTCCTCTCTCTCTGTCTCTCTTCCTCTCCTCTCTTCTCTCTCTTCTCTCCTCTCCTCCCTCTCCCTCTCCCTCTCCTCTCCTCTCTCTTCCTCTCCTCTCCTCTCCTCTCTCTCTCTCTCTCTCTCTCTCTTTGTGTCCCCTGTTGCAGCCTACATGGGGGATTCTGAAGTGATTGTTTTCCAGGGAGAGGACGGGGACAAGTGGAACTGAGGGATTAAATGAAGCAGAGAGATTGTTTTGTTTTTTTTGAACAGCTAAGATGACTTAAATCTGCAGGAAAATGTTTCCTATCGCTATCTTTTGTCTCTTCATGTGAATGAAAGTCTTTGCCCTCATCTCAGCCCTCTTTCTCTTTCTCTTTCTCTCTCTCTCTCTCTCTCGCTCTGAGGTGATATAATTCATGTCTTTATTTAGTTTCATCTTCTAACTCTGTTTATTTTAAGAGGCGTCCTTGTTCAAAGAGAAGAGTGTCAGATTTCTCCTTGTTGGTCTCAGTTTAGCCCCACAGTGTTGACAGTGTGTTTTACTGTCGAGTATTAATAGATGTGTGTGTGTGCGTGTGTGTGGTAAATCTGTGTAGGTGCTGTTATCACTCTCAACATTCTCAGATAAGCGAGCTGGCCAAGCGTGTGGTGACCTTGTGTTAGTTTTTAGTAAGCTTTTTGTCAAATAAACCAACAACATGTGTATAAATAGTTGTTTTAATGACACGTTGTGACCAGGAATGGAGCTGTTGATATTTTTGTTTGCCAACAATGAGTGCATTTCTGTTTACATGTGGATTGTTGTGATCTTCCTCTCTGATCAGACATGAAGGAAACATGTTGAAGTGCTGGCTTCTCTGACAACAATGCAGCAGCCAGTATGTCCTCCTTCTAACTTTAGATTCTGCTCCTGAATGCTCTGGATTTGTTTGGACCAGAGAAGGTAGGTGCTTTCCAGAAACATAACCTTAACACTATAGGATTGTGGGTAGTGTAGTTCTTTGCCCAGAGATTATGTATAATCCAAGTTTTTCTTAAAGGTCACATATCCTCCTCCTCCTCTTCAGTGTAAATAAGTCTCAGAGCTCCTCAAAACATGTGTGTGAAGTTTCTTGTTCTAAATCCACTCTGATCCTGTATTTGATCATGTTTATAAACCCCTCTATTTCAGCCCTGCTCAGAACAGGCTGTTTCTGTGTCTGTACCTTTAAATATGTAAATGAGCTGTGTCTGACCACGCCCCCTCTCTGGAAGGGCTTTGGGTGTACTCGGGCTTTCTCGCTCCACGTCCTATTGTTTACGGTGAGAAGGCAGACTCAGAGGGCAGAACAAACACCTAGCTGTGGGAGTGTCACCCACCTGGGGGAGGGGCTACTGCCCTTTGTGATGTCATGAAGGGAAAATCTCCAAACGGCCTGTTTGAGCACACATTTTCTGAAAAGTGGAGCAGGAAGAAGACGGAGAGGATGGACTTTTCTTATAATTGGGGGGTTTGTAGACGGACTAGAGACACATGTTAGAGTTAGAAATGAGTTTGCTCGTGGTCAGTCTACCTTTGGAGAATATGATGAGAATGATTTTAACTTGAGGAACCAAACTGTTGAGCTCTGTTGGTTCAACTTTGTGTGTCTGTGTTTCCTCATCAATCAGTGGCAGAAATGACCTCATTATCATCACAGCTGATAAGTTACAGACGGGGAAATGCCCGCTCTTACAGACCTGATATGAGTGTGAAACAGAAATGATGTTTAGAATTGAACTTGTTCACCCTCTAATTCAAAGTATGGGATTTTATTTACCAGACAAATGACACGAGCCACTTTTTTGTCTTTTAATGTGTAGAAGTTGAAGAGTGAACAGTTTAACTTTGGGTTAAATATTGTAAACGTAAACTTCTCTCTGGCCTGAGAGGAGCCTCACTCATGACCCCCTCGTGTTTCTGTAGTTTTTCACCCAGTTCGAAGTCGTTTCCACACTCACTGTAAATCAAACTGTGTGTGAACACACACACACACACACACACACACACACACACACACACACACACACACACACGACTCCAGTGTTCAGTCTGTGTTAGAGACGGATTCAAACCTTGGAGCTTCGTTGTCATCGTGTCAGAGATTCTGCAAATGTAACTCCCATCTGCCTTCCGTGCCAAGTGGGTCACAGAGACCTTTCTGCTATGTGAGCACGCTTCCTACCAACACACACAGTTTACTGGAAAACACACAGATACACAGTGTGTGCTATTGAGAAACTGTGACACACACACACACTCTGAGGCAGCATTGTTGGTGTGTGCGCGTGCGTGTGTGTGTGTGCGTGCATGCGTGCGTGCTTGTGACAGTGATTCAGCCATGTGACGTTAACTTTACTCTTTGCCTCGCTGCTCCTTAGAGGCTCCAAGACAATCAGGATGTTTTCATCACTTTGTATTCCCCATGTGGGAATTACAACATTACCTCAAATTGTTCTATAGAACAGTAACTGCCAATTTCCACATAGTGGTTTTGCTCAGTCGGATTGGCGCGCACCCCGCCACACTTGCAGTGATGGAAGAGGTCAAGAGAAGTGGTTCAGATAGAAGTGATTGTACCCGACCTAAAAAGCCTCTGCATGTTTCTAATAAGCTCCACGAGCAGAAACGTGCTCAAACTAGGATCAATATTGGAGATGCTTTTGAAAAATGGAGAGAGGTTAGAACACAGAAAGGTTTACAGACCCATGCAGAGCTGGATAAACACTGAAGCTTCAGAGTCCACCACATGGTGACCTGTGTGAGCATCCACTCTCATCGACCCCACTGGATACAGCAGCTCATGAAAAAAGGTCCAGTGTGGCATGGAGGAGCAAAACCGTGTCTCTGATGGAACGCAGCACAGACTGCTCTACTTCCTGTCCAACAGGAAGTAGAGCACAGGCGGTTAGCTTGTGCTAGTGTGCGTTAGCTTTCAGTGTAGGTACAAGCAGTAAACGTACAGACTACGTCCTGCAGAGTGAGCTCAGGAGGAGGAGGGGCCCAGTTTGAATGTTGTGTTTACAAACATTTCTACTGACTCCGCCTTTGAGGTATTTTCATGGTATCCCAGAATCGTACATTCATGTAGGTTTGATATCCTGAATCCTGTCCTGAAAGAATCTGTAGCACAGAAAGTGTCCGTGCACAGCTCTGCAGCCTCCTCTCTTTGCTGACTGTGATGCAGAGAGACGAGCCGGACGAGCCTCTCTTAACAACACGCCTGGAATTTAATGATCTGCAGAGGCAGAGCTGTCACAACTCATCCATTCCTCTCTGTGTGTGTGTGTGTGTGTGTGTCACGCTTGACCCCGAATTAAACTTTTGTGAGTGAGCACTTCTCTAACCGCTCAGGATGATAAAGAGGAAAGTTGAGTCAAGTCAGGTTTCACAACGGAGCTGGAGTTTGTTTTGTAACGGTGGAGAGTTGTGTGGTCAGAGTGACACAGGTGAGTGACACAGGTGACCCAACAGGATTAACCTGCGTGGTCACCCGGGCTGAAACGAAGACAAAAGTCAGCTGCTGGGACCTTCCTCTCTCAAGGAAAACACAAGTTCATCCCCTAGCTGTGGGAGTGTCACCCACCTGGGCGAGGGGTTACTGTCCCTTGTGATGTCATGAAAGGAACATCTCCAAATGAATGCCAAAATTCTCCTCGGCTCGAGCTACAATCACCTGTGTCCTGTATTGTTGTGTTAGCATGCTTATGATAGCGCTCTATAGTTAGCTTGTAGCTTCACATGCGTATAGATTGACAGAATGAGCACCATCTAAAAACGCTCACTGATCCTTAATCAGCTGTCAGGCCTGAACATGTTTTATACCTGAAAAGACACACTTGGTGCTGAATCAGCGACTTCAGCTTTGTGTTTATTAATCATGTTGTTGTCTTCTGTTTTGTTTCAGGGAAGGCAACGAGCCCGGGGATGAGCTGACGGTGACGTACAGAGAGCTGCTGCAGAGGGTCTGCCAGTTTGCAAACGTGCTGAAGTGTCAGGGTAAAAACCACCGAGTGAAAGATACCACAGCTGTGATTGCTCCTCCACAACTTCACTAAGTGTTTTTTGTCTCCTTCCTCGTGTGTGTGCAGGAGTGAAGAAGGGCGATCGCGTGTCCATCTACATGCCCATGGTGGTGGACCTGGTGGTCGCCATGTTGGCCTGCGTCCGCATCGGAGCGGTTCACTCCATAGTGGTGAGTCTGAAACACACGGTTTGATTCTGAGAGGACGCACAGTTCTTCACTTTGTACCTGAGTTGTAGTCAAGTCACCAAACTTCCAGTCCATGTCGAGCCTGAGTCACCAAAGACTTGTTGTGTCCAATATAAGTCTTTAGTCCAGAAGTCGAGTCAGAAGTCCTGAGAATCAGAGCTCGAGTCCTAGACTTGAGATGGACGTTAAATAACAGACTGATGTTCACTGTGTGTTTCCTGATGTTTTTGCAGTTTGCTGGTTTCTCTGCGGAGTCTCTGTGCGAGAGGATCATGGACTCGCAGTGCTCGCTGCTCATCACAGCAGGTGGGTGTCACACTGAGGGAACGCAGCAGTGCAGGGTTTGTTTTGAATCTGTGCACAGAAAATGACTCTTGTTAATCTCAGTACTGGAGATTTGAAAAGGCTTCATGCCGATGACTCATTCAGCCTGATGTCTGACTCTGATGGCGTGAAGAAATGAATCATGCAGCGCTTTTAATCTGAATTCTAAAATTCTGTGTCTGATCCCGACGTCTGACCTCAAGAGCCAAGAGAGAGAACCATGACTGCCCGTCTCATTCGTCTGCAGTCGTGTTCAGACAGAAAGAAGAAACACACATTTTCATCTCTGATTGCTGCTGTTTTTTTGGTTTCCCCCGTTACACAACCAGAACTCAAAGAAGCACATCGAGACATGCATTGTTTTTTAAATTATGAAAAAAGTTCCTCAAATGTCGGTGGAGTCAAAAGGTGAAATAAAAAAGGATTGTCGCAAAAGGTGAAACGACAAAATGGAAAATAACAGTAAATGGAACGCAGCATGAACGCCTTAGGGTGCACTCACACTCGTCAAACAAACTGGATTGCCTCGTGTGAGTGCGTCCTTAGGCCCCGTGTCGACCTAGAGTTTTTTGTTTATTTTTCTGAGCGCCGGAGTCTTTTTTTTTTTTTTGTATTGCTGCGCACGAGGACAGAGCCTGGAAAAAGAAGTGCAGCGTGCATTATCCTGTTTCCTAGCCCTCCATCTTTTATCTGCAGCTCTGAGCTCTTTGAGTTGAAAGTCTTTCAACTTGCATTTCTTTGGTAGAGATAGGAGGCTGGAGAGAGTCAGAAAACAAAAAGAGAGTGAGTGGGGAGTGACATACAGGAATGTAGCCACAGGTCGGATTTGAACCCGGGCCGCCCTTTTTGGAGGACTGCATCCTTAAAACACAATAGATAACCTTGAGGCTGGTGGGGAATCATGGGAGTGATCCTCTCTCTACTATGGATCATTTTAATCTGGGTTTCTCAAACAAAGATTTTACTACATCAAACTGATCCAGAAACAGACTTTTCAGCATCACCAAATCTGTATTACCTGTGCTTTAAAGGCTTTATACGTGATGTTTTGATCCAGCAGATGTCGCCCTTGAGCACCAGCATGAAACCAAAACAACTCGCGCTGCATTGTTGTGTTAACATGCTAATGCTAGCGATCTTTATTATGCTGGTATCTTCACACTGCATGTAAATTTACCTGAAATGAGCGTGATCTAGAAACACAGTTAAGCAGTGAGTACAGTATGTTATTCTTCTTTTCTCTAGTCCCTCAATTAAACAACTTTTATACACGAGGGGAGGAGTCAGCCGGCCGTCCTGGCGATGTAAACAAAGTGAAGATAGGACTCTGAAAACTCTGAAAACATCACAGACAGTGGGACTCGGGTGTTACACCCATTGTAGACAGTCACGACTCACAGAGTTATTTTCAGAGGATAGACTTGATTTATATTATATTTAAGTGTGAAAAACTTTAAACAGTGTATACTTCTGGCCTCAAGGGGGTGCCAAATCCCCACACAAAGTCAAAGACTTGTTTGTACATGAGGCGTGTGTGATCGGACCGTGATAGCGAGGTCGTCGTTGTCTTTATCGAGCTCATCATCCAGACAAAGTAGGAGGACGAACGTCTAGAGTTTGAAGCAGCCAGTCAAAAGTAACCGAGCAGCGTCGGTCATTCAGCAGACTGTTGTCATAGCGACAGGACTAACGTGCAGTGTTTTTTTTTCTCAGCACACAAACGCATCATACAAGTGCTACCGATCGTATAGCCAGCACTTTATTGCCCCCCAAAAAACAAGAAAACTGTTCTCTATGAACACCCGTCAGACTTAGACGAGTGCAGGAAAAACCCTGATGGAAGAACCTAGAGGCTGAATGAGCTGCAGGCTGAGACGACAAAGTGTTATTAGATTAGAGTCTGCAGATATAAAGCTGTTAATCCACACACACACACACACACACACACACACACACACACACACACACACACACACATAGAGTCTTTATCTCTAGTTTCTTTCATGCTGACACACGGGGGACTCGTAGACTTCTCTGATCCTATAAACAGGTTTTTTTTTTCTGCAGCTCTGAATGAGGCGGGGTCGTTACCTCTCCTCCCTCGTACGCGTGCAGATGATCCGACCATTTTTTTGATTCCATGATGTGTTCAAAATTATTTGCGACAGTTACCCGTTTTCTAAACCCTCTAAAATAGATCAAATATATTTATTTTTGCATGACTTAAATCTTTCTGTAATGCAAATGTGAAAAACATGCTGCATCCAGAAAATGACACAGAAACACTGCTCGTTATATTTTCAGGAAAGCCTTTTGTCAGCTTCAATTAACAGGTTTCTGATTGGCCTCTGTCTCTCTCTCTCTCTCTCTCTCTCTCTCTCTCTCTCCCTCTCTCTCCCCCTCTCTTTCTCTCTCTCTCCCCCTCTGTCTCTCTGTCCTCTCTCTCCCTCTCTCTCTCCTCTCTCTCCCTCTCTCTCTCTCTCTCTCTCTCTGTCTCTCTCTCTCTCTCCCCCTTGTCATTTGTTCAGATGGTTTCTATCGGGGAGATAAGCTGATCAACCTGAAGCTTTTAGCTGATGAAGCGATGCAGAAATGCAGAGACAAGTAAGCTGTGCACACACACACACTCACACACACACACACACACACACACACACACACACACACACACACACACACACACACACAGCTTCAGATAAATTGCAGTCTTGCACACATTGTTTATAAGATCCTTAATTGCTGTTATAAAAGTTTTTTGTGAACTCGGCCTTTACAGCATTATGCCTTAACTGACTGTAACTTTTATTTATATCAAAGTACAAACACATAAAAATACTCGAGAATAACGGAGACTGACCGGCGGGAAAAAGGTCGGGAGAATCATCAGCTGTTTTCTGTCACAGCGCTCTCAGATGGAAAGAGTCCAACTTTTGGAACAATGACACTTCTTCCCCACCATCCTCTCTCTCTCTCTCTCTCTCTCTCTCTCTCTCTCTCTCTCTCTCTCTCTGTGTCTCTCTGTCTCTCTCTCCATCACACACTCTCTCTGTCTCTTCTCACTCTCGCTCTCTCCCCCCCCCTCTCTCTCTCTCTGCAGGGGTTTCCCAATAAAGAGATGCATAATGTTGAAACATCTGTGTAAAGACGTTGAAGAGTCTCCTCTGGGCTCTCAGTCTCCTCCGGCCAAACGCACCTGTCCTGACCTGCAGGTGAAACATGAACGGGTTCAACTCAAACTGTCCGTGTTGTGTCTCCATGTTTTTTTTATTTTACATCCTTAAAAACTCCAACAAAACGTCTCTCTGTGTGTCGGCTTCAGTTTCTCTCGGGGATCCTTTTTTTGGTTTCTTTAAGTTTTTTGAAATAATCATTGTCCTGCATTAATTCTTCCTCCTGCTCCTCCTCCTTCCTCCTCCTCCTCCTCCCTCCTCCTCCTCCACTTCGTCCAGCAGGAGAAACAGTCAGGCAGAGTAAAGAAAACACGTCCTGTTCCGCAGGTATTTTCATTCCCTCCTCCCTCCACTTAACCCTCATAACACCTTTTACTTTGTTTTTTCAAAGTGGTTTTAAATTTCACAAGACTGCCGAGGAGTAAAAACAACAAACAAAGCGAGACGTTTCAGAGTAACTTAATTGGATTTATTAGCTAAATGTTATCTGTTGAAAAACTCCTCAATTATGAGAAGATTAAATTGCAGGTTTTTTGTTTTTACCCGGCAACAGCAGTTTGTTATTCCTGTGATCTGTGACGGTTCAGATTTACGTTTGTGGACATGAAAGAAAGACTTCTCCCTGATATCTGCTGTCGGACATTATTAAACATTTAGAGGAATAAAACAACATTTAAACTTGTTTTAGAACGTTTTCAGCTTTCAGATAAAAAGAAGCAGTATGTAACTCTGACCTCTAGTGGTTGAAAAAGGTACTGCAGTTCAGATTCTAAACGTTGTAGAGAGCTGTCTCCCCCCCCTCTAGAGTGGATGCTCACTCAGGTCACCATGTGGTGGACTCTGAAGCTTCAGTGTTTATCCAGCTCTGCATGGGTCTGTAAACCTTTCTGTGTTCTAACCTCTCTCCATTTTTCAAAAGCATCTCCAATATTGATCCTAGTTTGAGCACGTTTCTGCTCGTGGAGCTTATTAGAAACATGCAGAGGCTTTTTAGGTCGGGTACAATCACTTCTATCTGAACCACTTCTCTTGACCGCTTCCATCGCTGCAACACCTGTTGACCTGATAACTGCTCTCATATCTGATAAACTGAGGGGCATCCAAAACGGCCGTGTGGGGCGTGTCTTAAAAGCGCCTACCTTCTCTGGTCCAAACAAATCCAGAGCATTCAGGAGCAGAATCTAAAGTTAGAAGGAGGACATACTGCTTCTTTAATTTTAAAGAAAGTATTTTAATGAGTAAGTTTAAGGCCATCATCGACCACAGAACAAAGACGGGGAAGTCTCCTCTTGTGTCCTCAAACGTTTGTCGAACCGTCTGAATTCTCTGTGTGGAATTTGGTTTAACACTTTTCCCTCTTTGTGAATCTTCAGTAAAAACACCTCTTGCACACCTCTGATGTCTCTCCTCTTCAGTCGAGCCCCTCGTTAGATGTTGACCTGTGTGTTACCCCACATACATTTCCCGTTTTAATCCAGCGTTCTGTGTTTAGTGTTCCTTTATTTTCTCTTGCTGTAAAATGTCCGACGATCTCCTTGGTGTGTCCGGGCATTAAAGTGGACATGCAGTCATACAATATGTAACTCTGACACCTAGTGTTGAAAAATAGGTACTGCAGCTTAAATTCTAAACATTGGAGAGTGGTCTCCCCCTGCCCCCTCCTCCCTACAGTCGATGCTCACGCAGTTCGTCTGCACGTCTTGTGTCTCGTTCCTGTGTTTTTTTTCATCACAGGTGCCGTGGAACCCCGAGGTGGACTTGTGTTGGCACGATCTGGTCAGAGGAGCTTCAGACGAGTGTGAACCTGAGTGGTGCGAGTCTGAAGACCCGCTCTTCATCCTCTACACCAGCGGCTCCACTGGCAAACCAAAGGTAGAGTCCTGTAGTGCATGCTAACATGTTGGAGAAAGGAGTAGAAGCCCTGCTGAGTCTTTGCAGAAATCACAAACAAGTATTTGACTTTGTTTGGGGCTTTGGCGCCCCCTTGTGGACAGAAGTATACACTGTGTTTAAAGCCCAGGAAATGCAGATTTTGTGATCCTGAAAAGTTTGTTTCTGGATCAGGTTGATGCAATAAAGTTTTTATTTGAGAAACCCGGATTAAAATGATCCCTGGTAGAAAAAACACGAGCAGAGAGCATCACTCCCATGATTCCCCGCCATCATCAAGGTCATCTTCTGTTAGAGTTTTAATTGAGATCCCCCTGGTGGCAGAGTTTACATACTGTGCGTTTAAACAGCTGACTGTCACAGTACATTTATTTTCTCCTGTGCGATATGTTCTGCTCCCACACCTGCTGCTGCAACGCCACAAGTTCCCGTTTAGTGAACAGGAAGTTAACATATCTACCTGTTGACCTTCTCGTCTTTTGTCTTCCTGCAGGGCGTCCTCCACACAGTCAGCGGCTACATGCTCTACACCGCCTCCACCTTCAAACTGGTGTTCGACCACCAGCCTGACGACGTCTACTGGTGCACGGCGGACATCGGCTGGATCACCGGACACTCGTACATCACGTACGGACCGCTGGCTAACGGCGCCACCAGCGTCCTGGTGAGTGCACGAATCAATCTACATCCTGTTTCTGAATTTGACCTCTGGGATAAATAATGTTTTCTAAGACAAGTAATGTCAGTTTTTTTGGGGCAGGTTGATCACTTGATGAATAAAATTCATATTTTGGTGACAGTTTTCCTCATTTTCAGCCTCGTAAATTTTCCATCTGACATCAAAACAAAAAAAAGATTGAAGCCTGACATGGCGTTAAAATCTCTCTTTCTCCGCTCTTCAGTGTTCTGTATTGACTGTCTGTTTGTTTGTTTGTTTGTTTGTTTGTGTTTCAGTTCGAGGGCCTGCCTACTTACCCAGACGTGAGCCGCATGTGGGAGATAGTGGACAAATACAGCGTGACCAAGTTCTACACGGCTCCGACCGCCATCAGGCTGCTGATGAAGTACGGCAGCGAGCCGGTGCGGAAGTGAGTCGACGTCCGGTGATGATTCTGTTTATGGTTCAGTGATGTCACCCGATTAACCACAGAAATAGAACGCATCAGCTCATGCCGTGAACGACTCGATCAGGAGATGTGGCTGACGAGTTCATGATAATTCAGGTTTTAAAACACAGACAGTGGCTGTCAATCAGACGATATCCTCGTGATGGGAAGTAAAACCTACAAGTTGAAAATGAAGGAAGATCAGTTCTCCAAAGGCTGGAGAAAATGGTTAACATAACATCCTTCAACTCAAATATGATTGTTAGAGGGTCTACAGATGATGTGAAAAGATTATTTTTTTTACCCGGACCTTTGCTCTTCTTGCTTTTGTTCTGTGAGATTTCTGAGGAGCTGTGCAGCGCCGAGTCACTCCCGGTATTTTCCACAGTTTTCAGATAATGATATTTATGTACAGCAGCGCCACCCATTGGACATAATCTGTGTTACATACACTATTCAATGAGGTGAATGAGGATAAACAGCCAAAGATGGGTTTTAAATACAGCAATATGGTGGCGGAATAAAGCTCAACCGTGTGGTTACAATGCAAATCAAAGGGTTAACAAAACAGGGACATAAGCATCATACACAACAAATGATGTGTAGAAAAATGTAATCCTCATCCAACCAACAGGCTCAAAGTATCTGTGACACTTCTGTTGTTTGTATTTCATGTCATATGTTTAATATATGTCAAGACTTATTTCTGTTAAAGGTGCTCTATGTAGTTTTGGTATAGAGATGTGAAAGTTGGAGAAGTGTACAGCTTCTGTGGAATATGTCAATAACTCTCAACTCAACTTTATTTATATAGCACTTTAAACATAGTCGATCCAAAGTGCTGAACATTGCAGAAACAAAGCATTAGAAAGTAACAGACAAGAACAATTAAAAAAAAAAAAAAGAAAAGAACAAGTGACAGTTGATTCCAGTGTAACACAGGACTAACAGAGCTCTGGGTTTTTGTGCTTGATGGGTTACTGAACATTGAAGGCAATTGAGTATAAATATGTCTTAGGTGAGTTTTAAAAACACCAATAGTGTGAGAGAGACGGATGTCTGGGAGTTCCACAGTTTTGATCCTGCAATAGAAAAAAACCCGATCCCCATTGCACCTTGTCCTGGATCTAGACACTGACAGAAGGTTTTGTGCTGATGACCTAAGATCTCTCATCGGCTGATATGGGGACAGGAGTTCTGAGAGGTAGGCGGGGGCAAGTCCATTTAATGCCTTAAACACAGTCAGAAGTATTTTAAAATCAATCCTCAGCTTGACTCTAACTTATACGCAAACTGTCCTCAGAGGAAAATCTGGTCCCTGTAACTGAAGATAAAATGATACGCGATGTGTTAGGCTGGGGGGCCGGCAGCAGTGACACCGTAACTGTCCTGGTAGCTTTTCTAACTCCAAACAGAGTTCCAGGGACCCAATTTTCCTCTGAAGACAGTTTGTGTATTGAGTTCAGAAAATATAGCATAGAATTGTTTCACTTCTCCAACTTTCAAATTTCATCACCAAATCTACACAGTGCACCTTTAATGTTGTTTAATGTTACAAAATAAAACACAGACAGAAGTCCTGAACGCTCGTCTCGCTCTCTCTGCAGGTACAAAAGAGAGTCTCTGAAGGTTTTGGGGACGGTGGGAGAGCCGATCAACCCCGAGGCCTGGCAGTGGTATTACTCAGTGGTGGGAGAGAAGAGGTGTCCGATCGTCGACACTTTCTGGCAGACGGAAACCGTGAGTGATCGTTGACAGACGGACGATAAATCAATCACACATGGCACACTGACAGTTTACTTTACTGTCACTTTACTGTGAGCGCACATGGCATGTCGCTACAGCATGAGGAAGCTACATTGTAGAGGAACAAACCCCCAAAAAAGGCTTTAGTTTTTGAGAGACCCCTACCCGAGGTAGAACAAATCACGACCATATGTTTTCATAACTTGAACATGTCTAGTTTATGAAACGGATTGTTGTATAAAAATATTTTACTGCAAAATAACTTTTGTTGGATGTTTTATGCATCTTACCAAAGAACGAAAATAGGTCAAATTAGGGCTTCTCCAAAAGGGACAGCTCTAACCTTATCACATGTATCTCTGGGAATCAGAACCAGAACTTCACCACATCTGGACAGGATGTTCACAGATAGTTATTAGTTACAACAAAAGTTTTTATCAATACCATTTTAAATCTTTGAATTTTTCACACTTAAACACACATGTAGTTTAGGCGGAAATTGAAACAAAGATTCAAACTGTATGTAGATCAAAGTCTGTCATTTTTTAAGTAAGTGCACCAAACATTAAAACATGTCATTTATATCTTCTTTAGACTGTTATCTCAACATTAAAGTAAGTTATTTGACTTTTCACTTGACCCTATGCTGTCACCAGCCCCTAACAGGAAACTGGGCTGTGCTGCCCCCTGCTGGACGGAGAGTGTACCTACACCTGGTGGAGTTGAAATGTTTTTCTAACTGGATGTTTTTTGTGTCCTTTCAGGGAGGACACGTGTTGACTCCTCTACCTGCAGCCACGCCCATGAAACCAGGATCTGCTGTGAGTGAATAAAGAACCCCCTCCACATTTATTTTAGGACTTCTACATTTTAATTTAAAGTGATAACATGAGTGAAGTTTTGGAGCTCAAACATTTAACTGATCAAAACAAAGATTGTAACACAAAATTAAAAAAGCTGGGAAATGTTTTTTAAAAGCAGTCAGAGATAAGACAGTTTTCTAAGAGTTATTGAAACAAGTTTCAGAAAGTGGAGACGATCGTCCTTGTGTTCTTTTCCAGACGTTCCCGTTCTTTGGAGTGATACCCGCCATCTTGAATGAGTCGGGAGAGGAGCTGGAGGGGCCGAGCGAAGGATACCTGGTTAGTCTTCTTCTACTTCATCTAATTCTGCTTCTTGGTCTCACCCTTCTGTTCTTACTTGTCCTCCTCCTCTCCTCCTCCTCTCCTCCTCTTCCTCCTCCTCTCCTCCTCTTCCTCCTCCTCTCCTCCTCGTCCTCTCGTCCTCTCGTCCTCTTCCTCCTCTCCTCCTCTTCCTCCTCCTCCTCTCGTCCTCTTCCTCCTCCTCTTCCTCTCCTCCTCTTCCTCTCCTCCTCCTCTTCTCCTCCTCCTCTCGTCCTCTTCCTCGTCCTCTTCCTCCTCTCCTCCTCTTCCTCCTCTCCTCTCGTCCTCTTCCTCCTCCTCTTCCTCCTCTCCTCCTCTTCCTCTCCTCCTCCTCTTCCTCCTCCTCCTCTCGTCCTCTTCCTCGTCCTCTTCCTCCTCTTCCTCTCCTCTTCCTCTCCTCCTCCTCTTCCTCCTCCTCTCCTCCTCCTCCTCTCCTCCTCCTCCTCTCCTCCTCCTCCTCTCCTCTTCCTCCTCCTCTCCTCCTCCTCCTCTCCTCCTCTTCCTCCTCCTCTCGTCCTCTCGTCCTCTTCCTCCTCCTCTTCCTCCTCTCCTCCTCTTCCTCTCCTCCTCTTCCTCCTCCTCCTCTCGTCCTCTTCCTCGTCCTCTCGTCCTCCTCCTCCTCTTCCTCCTCTCCTCCTCCTCTTCCTCCTCCTCCTCCTCTCTCCTCTTCCTCGTCTTTCCTCTCTCCTCTTCCTCTCCTCCTCCTCTTCCTCCTCCTCTCCTCCTCCTCCTCTCCTCCTCCTCCTCCTCTCCTCCTCTTCTCCTCCTCTCCTCCTCCTCCTCTCCTCCTCTTCCTCCTCTCCTCCTCCTCTCCCCTCTTCCTCCTCTCCTCCTCTTCCTCCTCCTCTTCCTCCTCTCCTCTCCTCCTCTTCCTCCTCTTCCTACTCTCCTCCTCTTCCTCTCCTCCTCTTCCTCCTCTTCCTCCTCTCCTCCTCTTCCTCCTCCTCTCGTCCTCTCGTCCTCTTCCTCCTCTCTTCCTCCTCTCCTCCTCTTCCTCTCCTCCTCTTCCTCCTCCTCCTCTCGTCCTCTTCCTCGTCCTCTTCCTCCTCCTCTTCTCCTCTCCTCCTTTTCCTCTCCTCCTCCTCTTCCTCCTCCTCCTCTTGTCCTCTTCCTCGTCCTCTTCCTCTCTCCTCTCTTCTCTCCTCCTCCTCTTCTCCTCCTCTCCTCCTCCTCCTCTCCTCCTCCTCCTCCTCCTCCTCCTCTCTCCTCCTCCTCTCCTCCTCCTCTCTCCTCCTCTTCCTCCTCCTCTCCTCCTCCTCCTCTCCCCTCTTCCTCCTCTCCCCCTCTTCCTCCTCTTCCTCCTCTCCTCCTCCTCCTCCTCCTCTCTCCTCCTCTCCTCCTCCTCCTCCCTCCTCCTCTCCTCCTCCTCTCCTCCTCCTCCTCTCCTCCTCTCCCTCCTCCTCCTCCTCCTCCTCTTCCTCTCCTCCTCCTCTTCCTCCTCCTCTCCTCCTCCTCCTCTCCTCCTCTCCCTCCTCCTCTTCATCCTCCTCTTCCTCCTCTTCCTCCTCTCCCTCCTCCTCTTCGTCCTCCTCCTCTTCCTCCTCTCCTCCTCCTCTTCCTCCTCTTCCTCCCCCTCTTCCTCCTCTCCTCCTCTTCCTCCTCTTCCTCCTCTCCTCCTCCTCTTCCTCCTCTCCTCCTCTTCCTCCTCTTCCTCCTCCTCTCCTCCTCTTCCTCCTCTTCCTCCTCCTCCTCCTCTTCCTCCTCCTCTCCTCCTCTCCTCCTCCTCTTCCTCAACCTTTTTTTCTTCCTCATTACGATTAATCTTAATTTGCCGTTCTCCTTTTGTTTTTTTTCTTCTTCTTCTTCCTCTTCCTCCTCGCCCCGCCCCCCTCAGGTGTTCAAGCAGCCGTGGCCCGGCGTGATGAGGACGGTGTACGGAAACCATCAGAGGTTTGAAACCGTCTACTTCAAGAAGTTCCCGGGATACTACGTGACAGGAGACGGTGAGACACAGTTAGATGAAACGCTGCTGACCTCTGGGAGAGAAATGATTCTTTTATTTACCTTTAAACTTTGTTTTTGTTTTTAATATCTTCTTTGCAGGTTGCCGTAGAGACAAGGACGGCTACTATTGGATAACAGGGAGGATAGACGACATGTTGAATGTTTCAGGTGAGACGTAGAGCTGATTTAAATGAAGAGTTCCTCCTCCTGTGATTCAGCTCTGATTGGTTATCTCCCGCCCGTTTCCCCCTGCAGGTCACCTGTTGAGCACGCGGAGGTGGAGTCGGCTCTGGGGGAGCACTGGGCCGTGGCCGAAGCCGCCGTGGTGGGACGACCTCATGCCGTGAAAGGAAGAGCCTGTACTGCTTTGTGACGCTCACAGACGGAGTGAAGTACAACCGCCACGCTGGAGGCAGAACTCAAGAAACAAGTGAGGAAACATCTTCCTCCATCGTCACCTGAGAGCTTTTCTTCACACATCCGACCCTCGATCAGATCCTGCTGCATGTAAACAAACAAACGATCATAGTTTTTCTGAACAGCTCGTGCTCTAAAGATCTATTTTCTGCGTCACATCTATCAATGCAAAGTGTTTCAGTGACCCCTAATGGAGGTCAGATTCTGATGTGATTTGTCTTCTGTGTTCTCAGTACGGGAGAAGATCGGCGCCATTGCAACGCCAGACTACATCCAGGAAGCTCCGGGACTCCCCAAGACCCGATCTGGTAAAAGTTGCTTAATGCCGGCCTTACACTTGATGATGTTAAAGTCACAGACACATGTCCACTGTCTGTTTGGGGCGATGTTTTGTGATCTGTGATGCCCTCCCATGTTCCATATATACAAACACCGCTGTTACATCTGACCCTTGCCTCTCTGCAGGTAAGATCATGCGACGGTTGCTCCGTAAAATCGCCTGTGACGAGCGAGACCTGGGCGACACCTCCACTCTGGCCGACTCCTCGGTGATCGAGCAGCTCTTCCAGAACAGATGCTGCACCGCCGTCTGACCGCCTCCTCTCACGTCCTCGCAGTGAGGCGCCAAAACCCAGCCAGGGAGGGTGAGGAGGAGGAGGAGGAGGAGGAGGAGGAGGGAGGAGGAGGAGGAATCTATGAACTTAGTCTTGTCCATGAAACAATCTTTAGCTCCTGATGTGCAGCAGAGAGCCCGCTGTCAGAGGAGAGAGCAGCAGGTGGAGACACGTCTGCGTCTTCACTGAGACAACAGATTTTAAACAACAACAAAGTGTATGAATGAGTTTATCATCCTGTTGGTGTGAATGTTTTCTAGAAGCTGAGAGAGAGAGAATCCTTCAGGGGTCAGAACAGGGTAACACTTCATTTCAGTTTATTCCAGCGTCGTCTGTCATGTACGAGGACATTCAGATATTTTTAAACATCCAGTTTTACTCATCAGGTGGTTAAATGACTTGTAGACACAAAAAGATGATTTCAGATCCAAACAGAAATGACTCGCCTTTGAAGACGACAAACTGACCACATAATCTGTGCTCGCCGCGGTCTCTCAGCGCCAGCACTACGCCTCCGTTCGCTGCCACTTTAGTCAATGAGCGGTCCGTCTCCAGAGCGGGCCAGCGGCGCCACTACACTCTGCTCCATTTCAAACATTCTGAGTGTCTATTTTAAACGGAGCTCGCTGCAAGCGTGCGTCAAACTGGACAGAATATGACAACCCAGACAGGAAGTCAGACAAGGAAATGCACAGAGCGTCTGCTCAATTTCAGAGTAAAACACAACACACAGACTCCTGATCGTATTTTTCATCATTTTATTTTGACATCAAAACAGGCAGCGAACAAACAAATCATCTTCAGAAAGACAGAGCAACATGTTTGCACTACTTCTCCTGTGATGTGTGTACAGCTGATCAATGCTGCGCTCACGTTCCAGAAACAGATCCAGTGGGACAGGGCGCTCGCCGTCTGCACAGATTATGTGGAAATTGGGGGTCAGAAGAATAAGTGTGTTTCTCACATTAACGATAACGAGCACTTTGAGTCGACACACTCTCCCTTTTCTTTCATCTTCAACAGCAAATTCAAATCTTTTTGTACCTTTGAGTCATTAAAGATCTTCTAATTTGTAAAACAGGTTTTGAAAATGTCTGAAAATCCCTCTGAGGACAATAAAAACCGTCTTCAGTACTTCCTGCCACAGTGAGTCCTGTGTCAGTGCAGGACAAGAGGACGAGAGTCTTCACTGGAATAAAGCTGATGTGACATGTGACCATTAGCTGGCCTGAAGTTAAGACAACAAGTCGTCTCCTCCCTCGCTCCATGCCATAGTACTGTTATGTACACTGATGATAATCTCATACTCGAGAAAACAACGCCTCTTTATGTTTTCACTCTGAAGCTTCAGTGTTTATCCAGCTCTGCATGGGTCTGTAAACCTTTCTGTGTTCTAACCTCTCTCCATTTTTCAAAAGCATCTCCAATATTGATCCTAGTTTGAGCACGTTTCTGCTCGAAGTGTAGTTAAATTACCCAAACCTTTGACTACCCTTTTTTTTAAATTTGGTATTCCTGTGATTATTTGTGGCAGCAGGATATTGTAGGGAACATAAACTACAATGTATGATGTGTGTGCTTTCACCCTGATGTGTTTTTAATTGTTTTTCGTCTAAAATGGCGCTCTATTGGACGGAGGAAAATGACGTACAAAAACTATTCAGCCATCACTGTTGCTGTATTTCTTTAAGGGATTTGTCGACTGTGAGAAAACTCACCAGACGTCTTCCATCCATAATCAAAGAGTAAATGTTTCCAGTCAGAATCAGCTGAGCTATGAGCGACTTTGACTTGATCGTGAGAATGTTTGATTCCTTCAGAGCGACACCGACTCAAAGCAGGACCGCTCACATCAGCTTTTCATTATTTAATCTTTATTTTTTTATTATTTGCTGTTGCTGTTTGTGTCTCAATGTGCCAACCTAAGGGACAGCCGGGGTGTATCAAGCTAATAACTGTATGCAATGTTATGATTAAAATAAGTTGCAGCTGTTTATTTGATTTAAAGCGTGTTTGTCGTGTATGAGATTTGTTTCTGTTTTTTTGTTTTAGTTTAATCTTTGTTTTAATTTCCCTGTTTGTGTCGACCTGTATGTAAACAGAGTAAAACAATACATGACTACTGCCTCATCCTCTGTCACGTCTTTCTTTCTTTAAGAAGAGTTTGAATATCGTTTTGCAGATAAATTAAATCCTTTGATGTATAAATGTTACCTGAAGGCCACATTAGGCTTTTGACTGGGTGAGATGAAAAAACAACAACTCTACTTACTATGTTTACAAAATGTTCAAAATCATCACAAGAGTAGAGAGCTGGAGCTGAGGCGGGTTTTAAGCCTCTTGTCAAACCGTTAAACGGCGCCCGGTGTAGTTGTGCAGTTTGAGACGATCAACACACGAGCTAATCAGACCTATGCTGGATAGATGAATTAAATTAAAATCATTAGAAGTGTTTCAGTTAAAATGATTGTAAAGTTTAACAAAACTATATGAATGTGAAAATTAGAAGCTTAAATAAAATGTTATCCTCAGGAATACGGTTGTTTTGATTGAGCAGTGATATACTAGCAGCAGATTAGAGCCTTGGCTGGAGTTTTCTTTACAAAGCCAGCTAAAAGTTTCGACCGGTGTTTCGGTTTAATTAGTGACCGTGTTAAATTGCGACTTTCAGCCCAATGTGTTTGTGGTTGTCGGAGTTACAACAGATTTTGCCTCCTTGTCATTATATACATATTTGACGTGTATTGATTGTGACACTGTCACAAAAAAAATAAACAAAGGCGAACCGTGAGAATCACGTGCGCATTTGGCCGATTGTCACCAGTTGACACGGTCACTTGTTAAACCATAACACCTGCAACGGCTGACTTTATCGAGCAGTTGACGGCCAGCTACATGGATGCACAAACGGCTGGTAGCCATGGTAACTAACGGCTAGTAGCCATGGTAACTAACGGCTGGATAAAAAAAACTTGACCTCCACCAACTTGAATGCTGTTATTTGGACCAATATATATAGAGTAAGAAATTGGAGACAGAGCCACATGTCGGAATCAAACCCAGGCTGCCCGCTTGGAGGACTATGTCTGTATGTTGCTCGTGCACTACCAGCGCCCTGGTCATTGTGTTTCTAACTGTTCATCCTGTGAGTGTTCATCACCTTTACTGCATCATGACCACCAATATGATGATGTAATTAGTATGTAAGCGTGTTTGGCCGGACACTCTTTCAGTCAGCTTGTTGAGGAATCTGTATCTGTCAGGGCTGTGGATGGGGACCAGGTAACCACCAGTCTTGATGCAGGCATGCTAATGTGGAAGAAAAAAAAGAGAATCAAAGACTCACTTAATATAGGACAGGAGGAACTAAGAAATAAGTTCCAGGAGGAGACAAAAACATATAGACAAAAGGAGTCTTAATTGCAAACATATGGACGTCAAGAATGTGATGAAAAAAATGCTACAAATGCGTTTCATAGTCAATTCTCCAAAATGACAAAAAATATTGAATCAAAACCTTTCTCAATCTTTATTAACAAAAACGTCTGAGTTGAAAAGGTCTAATTTCTTGTGTGTACACTTCATGGGTTACCCAACAAACTGATGACTCAGCCTCTGTGTTAGTTTAATATTTTCTCAGTATTTTACTAGAGATACTCCCAGCCACCTAATGTCCTACTCAATGAAATGGAAATTTAAATTCTGTTTTACCTACTAGAAAAAAAAGAAAGGAAGAAGAGAGTCTTGTAGAGTTAAACTTACAGTCTCTGAAACGAGCAGTCCGCTGATCAAACTCAGGAAGAAAACCACGTGAAAACTTGATGCCATCATCTGTGGAAAGACGGGACTCATAATAAATGTGTGCATGTTAGAAAATAAGAGCAGGTGTACACAGGGGCATCATGCAAGTCAAGGGGTCCTTCTCAGAAAAAACTGAGAAGAATTGGGCCATTTTCTGCATTTTGAAACGTTTGTAATCCAAAGGCATTATTTCTGGATCAGTCTGAAAGTCCGAGGGATCCTCCGATGACTCCTATCCTATCGCAGCTTTTTTTTCTGATATCTTCCATATTTGAAATATTTTTTTTTATAACTACATATTATATCAAAAGAATAGTTTTAAATACTTAGATATGAGAAAAACCCTGTCAGATTTGGAAAAATCTGAGGTAGCTCCAGCCCCCCAGTCTGGGTATACATACATTTTACATTTAATGTGTTAAAAGTTTGACAGAAAAGAAAAGAAATTCCCAAAATCATGTGCGTCTGAATTGCCCTTAAATGAACATAAATACAGGTAGATTAAGAATAGACTGAGAAGACATTACATGGAACATTACCTTTGCTGTAGTGACGATACTCAGTGGCAGAGCAGGAGTGTTCAGATTTCAGGAACAACTGGATCAGATGTACCCCTCATCTACTTCAGGTTCAGGAATGTGAAACATGTCGTCCTCAAGGGAGATGACACGGGGCTTCCCCCCCAGGTGAGTAAGAGGAAAGGAGTTGAAACTTCAGTACATCATTGGGTTTTGGTATTTGTATTTTTTACCTGTTCGTCTTGTTGGTTAAGTCAGATGGCCAAAAAAGAAGAAATATATGAACTCCTCTCTCTCAGTAAAGAACAGCTGTGTGAATCATTTTGGACACAGATTCGACCTGGGTGGGCTGCCTAACTTTATTTACTGACTGTGTCCTTTTTTTATCCATACACGATCGTCATCTAAAATCTTGTACGGAATACAAACGAGCCCCTTGAGCAGGGTCTGATACAGGCTCTCTGTAGGTAAACAAAGAGAGGAGTTTGCTGTTACATGCCTCCTAGGATGGAGCTAGAGTAGAGATTCAGGCTCTACTACTTACACTACAACTATTTCAAATGCACGGTGTTTGGTGTTAAGTCTCAGTGAAAAGAAGGCGGCGTTAAAGTAGTGCCATGTAGAAATGTACAAATAGGAAGACATTTCAGTGTTTTAAAATAGATTTTTGCATAATTTTCGCAGACTTTCACACAGTAATGAGTCATAACGAGTTTATAATTGCATTGTGCATGGTTACTTTGAACGGAGAAGCAGCGTTTGAAACACGTGGCTACGCAATGGCCTGCTAACGCTACAACCTGCTGTAGTCTGTTGCTGTAAACTGTTCAATTAAAAGTCTGATTGGTGTAGGCCTATATACCGTAAAACCTGGAAAACTAGTAATTAAGACGCTGTCTGTTTTGGAAGTCTCTTAGAAATAGAAAAGGTTTAAACTGTGACGATTTCCATAGCGACCACCTTTTCTTTAAATGCACCATAGTGACCTCACACCACCAACAGTGGTGCTGCCAGCCTGCTCCGCATTGCCATGTTTACAAACAGCTTGCAATACACAAAGACTAGGGGTGAATCTTCAATCTCATCAGGTTGGGTGCATCGTGTGATGGTGGCGGCTGCACTTGTCGTAATTACGGTGCATTTGTCAGCATTTTGTAGTGGTGTATTGGTCGCACCGGTATTTAAGACGCAGCCAAGTTTTTTTTAATGGAAAAATATCAAAATTGCATCTTATGCACTGGATATTACGTTACATATTTGACTTTATATCTTTTAAACATGCAATAATGTTAAGGTATATCTGTAATCATATCGGCCATCAGGAGCAGGAAATTATCAGTTATCAGCACCGACTGAATAAAAATAATTTCATGCATCCCTAGTGTGGATTAAGTCTGTATAGTTACTGTTGGAACAGTTTGTGTTTGACAAGGAGGAAAGTGAATGTTTGCTGACTGTCTGCTGGAGATGATAACCGGGACATTTGGCATGTGTTTATACTTTAGATTTCTTTAAAAAGCTATGCACACCCACTTGATGCACATAAATGCATGCCAAGTTCTGCACAACGACATCAGATGTTATCATAACAGGGCAGATTCTGTCAACATGAGCAGCAGGTTCCTTAGAAAATGCATTTTTATTTGTAGAGGCTTTTCAAAACACTGTCCTATGTAGGTGGAAGCAGTAAATTAGTAATGCCTGGTGGGAATTTGAGTCATTCTGGGTTATCTTTTTTGTTTGTGTGTTTCTAAAGCCGTTTTCACATATGCACTCTGGAAAATATCTAGATAATATCGGGAGGACTGCTCCGCATATTCTCCTGACCTGGCTGTTCACATATGTTCCTCACAGCAGGAGACTATCCCTGTCAGAGATAGAGTAAGACTTGACATAACAATACAAAGTGGAAGTGGCGGATGAAGCATCAGAGCCCGCTACACAACGCTATAATGAGAATATTTCCCTTTATATCTATGCCACTTGTACTCTAACAGAATGACAATATCAACAAATGAGTGGAGAACAACAAACTGGAGAACAGAAACATAATGCAACCGTTTTACTACGTGCACAGAGATCGTAGTGGTCGCATGTATACAGTCTCTGCACCGTGTAACAGTATAGAAAACGTCACTCCCCTCCTATTGGTTGGAGGTGAATTCTCCGGAGAATATCCTGCTGTGTTCTCACATCAGCTCACTCGGACTTGCTGTGAAAAAATACTGAAAGTCTGGCAGGAGAAACTCTGGGTGAAGTCCGAGTGAAAATTCGGCTGTTAGCGTTCGCATACAGCTCCTCCGAGAAATATCAGGAGATTTTCAGAAGAATTCTGCTGTGTGAAGCCCTATCTGAGAACAAAGCCATTTATTAAAAACTTTAAAAACAGTTAGACATCAGAAACCTCCGGGGGATGTGGCTCAGTTGGTAGAGTCGTCGCCTCCTTGGGCAAGACACTTAACCCGGTGTATGGTGGCGGTGTATCAGTGGGATTAGTTACTACATAGCGACCACTACCATCAGTGTGTGAACGGATGTATTTGGCCAATTGCCAAAACTGGTGTCTTTTTCATGACTTCTTTCAGAGTAAGAGTCCCACAAGTTTTACTGCCGATGTAAACTAGCTCTAAGCTAACTTTTGCTACAATGCATTAAATGGTAACATTGTACATGGTCCCTTTACAAATGAATGCCACTAAAACAGATGAGAGTTTACCCAACAGGTGACTTCCCCTGCCCAATAAACCTCTTCTCTGAATCAGTAGTTAGGTGTACTAGATGCCAGCATTAAATAGGTATGACACAACATAAAAACTGGTTACTGTCATCCATTCATGCAACATTATCTGCTGATCAGCCAATGATTGACAACAGTGATGTTTGTTCCTACTGTTTCTGACTGGTTGGTTCGATTCAATTTTCTAACGAATTGTTATCATTAGACTTTGAAGTGAGGAATAAGTGTATGATAAGTTACCACCCTGGTATTTGCCCCATCACATGCTAAAACCAAGGGATAAAAACAACTGTTGTTTTTATGTTGTATTAAGGAATGGTTAAATATTGACTGAAGGCTTTGGTTGTGTATGTACAAAATCCTACACTGTATCGTGTGGTCCCTTGGATAAAAAAAAACAAAGCTTAGACAAAAGGTATTTAAAGACTGTGTCTCCTCTTCTGAGACATCCTGGTATATCTGCTACTCTGTCCTCACACCACCACATCAAGGTAAGGTTTATAATCTTATAACCCCGAGCCAGCTTCACAGAAGACTGTATTCATCTTCTCTTTAGGTGTTTCGTCATTATTATTTGACAATGAGAAAAATAGAAACACGACTGCTAATGTGCTAATGCTAAGTGGCGACTTTAATTCTCTTATACTCTTCATCTTTGCATAGATGGCTCCTGCTCTCCGTGTCTTTGTTCTCTGTTTGGCCAGCGGACTGATGATCTTAGCGAATGTGAGTAATGTTTGAAAAGTGGTAGCCTACTTTAAGCAGTTTTAAATAGTACAGTATCCCGCAGAGGTGGAGCTAGAATATGTTTTTTAGTTACCAGGTGGTAACTTCATTCATAAAGCAACTTTTAACAATTAAAGGAGTTAGCCGTGATTAGTTACAATATACAGCAAGCGAATGAGCTAACAATAATATAGGAAATGAAAATAGTTTTTGTAATAAATTCCGTCATTGTAGTCTCACTCATCATATCACCGTGGATTTCTTACACTTTGTTTATTCCACAGGGGAAACGTCAAGATAAAGAAGGTAACTATTCCTCATTAAGTTCGGTGTATTTGGATCCTTTGCTCATCTTTATCTGGACTCTCAGGGGCTGACAGGCACTACGGCTGGACAAGATGGGGGCAGCAGTAGCTCAGTTTGTTGGGACTTGGGTTGGGAACTGGAGGGTCGGCAGTTCAAGTCCCGGCACGGACCACAAATACAGAAGTTGTTCTGGCAGCTGGAGAGGTGCCAGGGCACATTCTGAGCACTGCTGAGGTGCCCTTGAGCAAGGCACTGAACCCCAACCCACTCCCTGTGTAGCAGCCCCACTCTGACATCTCTCCACTAATGCATGTTCACAGGTCCTGTTTGTGCATGTGTGTAAATGTGACGAGCATGTCTCTCAATAACAGTGTAAACCAGAATTTCCCTCAGGGATTAATAAAGTATAAAAATAAAAAAAACATTAAATATGGACCAAAACTCATATATCAATATTGTTTAACTAACGCGATATATAAACTGATAGTTGCACAAGGTCATGTAATTAATTTTCTGCATAACAAAATAAACACAGTTGTGTGTTTTGTTATCCATTCGTTTTTTTTGAGTTTGGCTCTGAAACAGAGAGAGGAGGATTAGCATCTGTTCAACTCCTCAGTATCACCTTTAAGTGCTTCTAATCAACATGAGGAACGTTTCACTCTTTTCTGTCTGATGAATTGATTACTGTAGTAGAGAGCTTTGTTCACCTCCAGGAAAATATGTTCATTATCAGATAATTAAATAATGGAAATGACTTTTATGTGTGGCCCTGCTTTATTACTGTTGTTTTAATCTACAATTGTTTTGTAGGTGATTGTGATGGATCCTGCCCATCTGGTTGGACTAAATTTGACACCCGCTGTTTCCTGTTCCAGCTCGATGAAAAGGAGTGGTCAGATGCAGAGGTAGTACAGTTTCAGCTTCATGAAAAATGTTCTGAAAAAATGTTGCACCAATATGAATCATGTAATCAGAGAAACCTTCATTTTATGAATATTTAAAGTCAGGGTTGGTAATTTCCTCCAGATCCACTTTTTAAGATGTTGGTGTAAATTGTCTTTAGGTCCTGACAGACATTAATAACTCATGTTCTCTGACCAATGTCTGCCACGAGGTACCAATCTGATGAACCAATCACACGCCTCCCTGTCTCCATTCTCTACCCCATGCGTGCACTAGCCCACACTCAGAACGAGTCAGCGATGACAGAGTTTATGCTGTGAGTTTGCAGTTGTGATTAGTGAAATAGTCAGTCTGTATGATAAAGTCTAGTGTTTACTTACCGCTGAATGAGACGACGTAGTTTCGACAAAATGCAAAGGATGAGCTGAGGTCCGCTTCTGGAGTGACGGCGTTCATGCATGTAAGTGAGAGGTTTGTGTCTTGAGGGAGCACAGAGGGGAGGGGGTGGGTGATGGAGCACAGAGGGAGTGCTACTTTCAAAATCATGCTAGCTTTCAAAAATTACCAACCCTGCCTTTAGTTGAATTGCACCTAAAATTCAATCAATTGCAAAAATAGTTTGTTCATGTAGCAACCAGTCAAAGTTATGTTAGACGCTGCAAAAAAAGCGAGTGTGTAGACCATAGACTGTATAAAAATGATGACATGAAGGCTTCTAAAAAAGTGAAACCAAAACCAGAGAGCAGCAGGAGAACTAAAGAAGTATGCAACCTGATCAGATTTAAGTAGTTTTTGAATTAACACTTAATAAGGTAGAGAATGGAGTACATTTAAAATGTAGAAATTTGAAATAGCTAACTTATAATAGCTTTATTCAATAAGTCTACCTATTAATTAAAGAAACATATCAATAACATTGGATTCTTTTGCCTGGGGCTGAATATCTCTAGTGAGAATTCTGACTTTGAAGTTGGTACATTCATGGAGTAAACGTAGTGATTTTAAAGGAACTCTTCACAGTCTTTGCACCTTTTCGCCTTTGACAGCGTCACTGTACTCTCATTGACGGAAACCTGGCTTCAGTCCAAACGTCAGGCGAGTACACCTTCCTCAGAGACCTGATTCACAAAGCGACCCACACCCACAAAGAAGTCTGGCTTGGAGGCTATGATTCTCCAAAGGTAAGTGTTTTATCTAATATATATATCTAATATATTCTCTTTTAATCAACAGTTATGTTAAGTAGTCATGCTGCATAATCATATGTATCTCAGTAAAATGTATCTTAATAAACTGAAACTGTGCCTCAGGGTAAAAATGCACTGAACAGAGCACACAGGAAGGAACCCTCAGGGTGGGGTGTAAAGAAAGTTGGTCTCCAGGTCCTGTCTCTGAAGAATACTTTGCAAACTTTAAGGACTACAATTAGAACATGAAGAAAACTGCTAGATTTAGAACTTCATTATGTTGTGGCTTTATTGGGATCGGACGTAGGTTTCATCTGGCCCTCGCCTGGGTCCGAATTCATACAAAAAGTCAGTACATTATCCAATTGTCATTTCATATTCTAACCTGTTAAAACCTCTTTCAGAACAACGTGTGGCTGTGGAGTGATGGTTCTCAGTTTGAGTTCAATGGCTGGGGAAAGGGAGAGCCTAACAACTATGGTGGAGGAGAAGGATGTATGGAGATGAACTTGAGAGGTACAAATTAAATATCTGCAACTGCTAGCTGTATCAAGCCAAACCATTTTTATTTTTTACTTTTTATTTTAGTATGTTAGTAAGAGAAACATATTTAATAAAATGATTTATTTTAAAAAAGCTTGAAATTAATACTATAATTAGTCTAGAATTAAAATCAAATCAAACAGTTACAGGCATTGGGCGGTTAAAAAGTCTATTTCTGAAGTGTCCAAAGGGGATAAAAGTGCCTCAATTTCAGGTAAAGTTGTAAAAGATTCCTATAGTTTGCTGCACTAACGCTAAAAGCAGTTTTCCCAAGGTCAGTCCTGGTATGAAGAACCTGGAGAACCAGGCTCACATGTGCAAGTTAAAAATGGACCAGGGTTCAGATGCAATAAGGTGGTGATATATGATGGTAGCTTTCCGGTAACTGCTTTATAGATGAATAGATGCCAGCGGTTATTGCGTCTTTCAGTAAGAGCGGGCCAACCAGCTTTATCAAGCAAAATGCAGTGGTGAGTCTTATACCTATCAGAGGTAATAAATCTAAGTGCAGAATGATAAACAGCATTCAAGGGCTTTAGCGTAGTGGTAGAGGCATGTCTACAGACCACATCACCGTAATCCATCACTGAAAGAAAAAAGGATGATGTAATAATGTTTGCATGTCCTGCTTTATTTGCAGGTCAAGAATGATTAGTTAGATGGTGTAAAAAAAATATATTAGTGCCTTCTCTGTTGCATCTTTTGAACTCTATAGAAAACCTACTTTGGTATTCAGGTCAGAAAAATGACATTTTATTATTGAGTTTAAGGCAACCTTACTTTGTTTCAAGCAGTTTGTTTTCTCATGATAACTATTGAAAATAAGAGCGGACTTGATGAACAGGCCCTGATGTGATTTTTTTGTTTGTTTCAACTTGTGTCAACAGGACGCGATTACGTCAACGATTCAAAGTGTAACAAGAAGAAATCTTTTGTTTGTGCCATGACGCCATAACAATCCATCTGCTTTCATGATGATGTCAAACCCCTCTGATGTCTTCCATCAGGATGTCAAGCCTCGATGACATCACTCCTGGAAAATATTTCGACAACTCAGATTAAACTTTTCTTCCATTAATAACCTCAAACTCTTTGTAAGACGTTTCTTGGAAAGCTAATTAAAATGTCTCTGTGTTTCCATGGAAACTTGTTTGTCTTTTTGATTAAATACTCACTATTGGGTCCCTTGTAAACCCAGTATGAACTAAATTTGAAAAGTTATCACAACACATTTGGGGAGCCCGATAGCCTAGCAGGTTATTTTGCACGTCCCATATACGGAGGCTATAATCCTTTTCGCAGCAACCGTAGCTCTGAATCCAACCTCTGCCCTTTGCCGAACTTAATTTATTTATGGTATTTGCAGGATCGGCAGAGTCATGGTAATTGAGTGATGATGATAATTGTAACACTTGAAGCCAAGTTCTAATAGCAGAAGAAGATACCATAATAATATGGGGGGTGGGGGTCTGATAATGTTATTGTAGCATTTGGAGTTGAGCAGCTCAACATTAAAATGTATAGTTCTATGATAATAAAATGAAGACTTGTATTAATAGTTGTTGGAGTCTAGTAGTCCACTGCAGCAGGCCATCTAAGCAATGATCCAGAAGGACCTAAAAACCTTTGGGAAAACATGGTCTGTCAAGTTACATGCATTACTATAACAGAGGGGGAGAGACAGCTTGGTGTGCCATGCTCCCTGGCAGTCCGAGCCTATAGCAACATAACTAGGAGCTGGTTGAAGCCTGAGCCAGCCTTCATCAAATAGTGAAAGTTTTAAGCCTACTATTAAAACTTGAGAAGGTGTCTGCTCCCGTACCCTGACTGGTAGGTGATTCCATAAGATTGTACTGATAATTGAAGGCTCTACTTCCTATTATACTTTTAGAGACTTTAGTGGCACAAGTAGGCCTTTGTTAAAGGTCACAAATTATCCTCCTTTTCAACCAGTTTAAATAAGTCTCAGAGCTCCTCAAAACATGTCTGTGAAGTTTCTTGTTATAAATCCTGTATTTGGGCATGCCTATAAACTCCTCTATTTGAGCCCCACTGTGAACAAGCTTTTTCTGTGTCTGTAGCTTAAAATGCAAGTTAGCTGTGTCTGACCACGCCCCCTCTCTGGAAGGGCTTGGGTGGTTTAGGCTTTCTCGCTCCATGGACGATCATTTACGGTGAGAAGGCAGACAGATACCTAGCTGTGGAAGTGTCACCCACCTGGGGGAGGGTTTGCTGCCCTTTATGATGTAACAAAGGGTGAAACCCTGAGCATGGTGCCCTTATATGGTCGTAGTACAACACATGCATAGCTCTACGTAATCATGAAGCGTCCTTAGTTTACAATACAGGCGGACTCGAAGAGAAAAATAATTTAAAAAACGTGTCCATACATCGGAGAACACCGAGAACATGACAGATTCTTCACTAACTTTGTGGCTTATTTTGAGTAATTTTAGTCTGTTACAGCCATACAACTCAGGGATTTCTCCATAATCCAGGCTGTCATTGTTGTGTGCCCGAGTGCTTGTGCCTGTGCAGGAACTGTACTCATCATCATCATCATCATCATCTTTATTGCCAGACTCAGGAGTCCATTAGAAGACATAAAAAACAAGCAAAATAAAAACACAGGGTAAATACACATACAGACAGACAAAACATCATCAATATTATAAAAGACAACTGTACCAGTGTCGCCACAAGGATGACTGGTATCACACAGAACTATGACTGGGATTAGTCAACAGCATAATGATGGAATTCTGAGAATCCTTCAATCGGCAGATACATTTGTACATTAAGTTTCTCATAAGAGCCTGAAAAGTGTTTACTCCTGCATTACAAAATAACTCACTCGCACTAGTCCATGGAGGTTTTTTAAACAGTATTCTCAGGGAGTCATGTAAGCTTGGCTTTTTAAACCTGGCCCACAAGGGGGCAGTATACAGAGGAGTACAATATGCTCTGAATAGAGTTTTCTTAACATTGACTGTACACATTGAGAATTTTCTTGCCAACATATCGGCCTGGGCATATAACATTCAACATTGTCTGTACATGTCGTCATCATCGGACATTTGATCCGTAATAAAGTGACCTAAATATTTTATTTTGGTGCTCACACTCAGCACCTGTCCTGACAGGTATAAATTAGGAAAGTTTAGGTCCTTGTCCCCTTTTGTTCTGCAGATCAAAACAGTACTCTAGCAAGAAGAATAGCAACCTTTGGGGTAGCAAACTTGAGGTGCTCTGCAGTGATTTGATCTGAGCCACTTGCCTTATTTTTAGCAAGCTGCAATATTGCTTGATGGACCTCAGTGGCTGTAAAACCCTCAATATCACTACTAGCAATGTTTCCCAAATGATATGGGTCCCGTTTCACACAATTAAATAAAGAAAGCGCTTCAGTCCACTGACAGCTGTGACACCTTTTCCCATCTTCACCCATCTTTGAATCTCCACATGGGAAGGGGCCCCCAGAGGCAGAGATAACATTAGGCCCTCCTCTGCTACCTGTAGTTCCCACCGCATGGTTTGTAAAATAAATCGTGAGAGAATCGTATCGTGAGTTGAGTGAAACGTTACATTCCTATTGTGTATGGTTACTTTGTTTGAAACACTGCTTCTCTGTTCACTCTCACCTCGTCTGCATCCTGCAGCGATCAGTTGGTGGCTGTGTGATGGCCTGCTAACGCTACAGCCTGCAGTAGTTTTTTCCTGTAAACTGTTCAATTAAAAGTCAGATTATACCAGCTGTTGCTAATGAGATGGAGTTACAATCAAGAATGGAAATGTTTAAATTAAATCAAAGCAGTTTTTCGACTTAACAGAGAGGAAGCAAATTAAAAGAGTTGAAAGACAAGATGCTGCTGCAGATAAGTGTGTGAGGGTTTTGGATACAAGGAAATGTTTTACATACATTTTTTTTTTAACTTCCTTCACTTATGTTACATCAACATCTGTGGAATCAAGGACATGAGAGGAGCGTGTAAAACAAACCGGTGCACATTTGTAAAACAACACTTAAGAACAACCACCAAAACTCAGTTTTGATAAATTAGCTCAGAAGGACTTCTGTATGCCCGTGTGTCTATATACACACTTTACATCAGTATAGATACTGAACTGTAAACCACCTTTGCTTTAAACGAACCATAGTGACCTCTTGGTTGAGAAAAGAACTGCTCCGCGTTGCCATGTTTACAAACATCTTGCGATACACAAAGAGTGGAGGTGAATTTTCAATCTCATCAGGAGTGATGGTGGCGGCTGCACTCGTAATTACCACACATTTGTCTGCATTTTATAGTGGTATATTGGTTGCCCCAGTATTTAGGCAGCCAAGTTTTTAGATGTCATACGTATCAAAATTGCATCTTATACACTGGATATTATGGTATCTTTAACTTTCTATCTTTAAAAATGCAATAATGTTAAGATATATCTGTAATCATATCGGCATGGGCCATTAAGAGCAGGAAATTATCAGTTATCAGCATATCAGTTATCGGCTAAATAGAATTCATATCAGTGAATCCCTAGTTTGGACTTAGTCCGTGTAGTTTCTGTTGAAACCAGGAGTAAAGGAGGAAAGTAAATGTATGCCAACAGCTTTGACTGTCTGCCATGAAACCCTGGAAATGTGACATGTGTATTTACTTTAGATTTCTTTTCAAAAAGCTATGCACACCCACTTGATGCACATAAATGCATGCATGGTTCTGCACAACTACAGCAGATGTTATCATAACAGGGCAGAAGATTTTGATAAGAGAAGCAGCAGGTTGTCTTTATGCATACATGGGTTCTAAGATAAACAATCAGAAATCCATTTTCCAGGCGCTTGAAGGAGAAATATTTGAGAATATTTGTATTGTATTGACCTTATACAGTTACATTATGATGGCACATTCAGTCTGTCTGGGTTTAATCCCTTTATTTGTCTAGGATAAATGGCAGAGTAGCCTAATGGGCCTGTTCTACGTGGAGCAGACAGAGAGGCAGCTTTGTGCTGCTGAGTGCTGTGATAATAATAATTTAAAGGCGCCTTTCAAAACATTCATGGTCACCTTACAAAGCATTGTTAAAAATAACAACCAAAGTGACATTAAATCCATGAAATGAACATTAAAAAGACAAATGTATATGAGTATAAGATAATTGTGAAGAAGATTCATGACGTAACTCTGCAGGTTTCACATGCATTCAAAGATCCTTGTTTTTGTAATTTGTGGAAAAAACTCATTAGGGACTTCTAAATCAGCAGTTACATTTACTAGATGGCATCATTAAATAGATGTGACAACATAAAAACTAGAGATGGGACTGAGCCGATCTTAAATCCGTATATGGTCAGATATTGACCTAATTTACGCATCGGATATCAATCAACGTCACAGATTAAGAACAATCGTTGGGCACTTTAAACATTCATTCTCACTTTGAAGATGTTAAGAAGTGATTCAAGATTCAAGATTTGTATTTGTCACATGCTCATACAGATGTGCAGTGAAATGTAAAGACTGTTCTGCCAGGCCATGCAATAAACACTCAAATTACTAATACACATATATACAGTAAAATAGAATATAATGTAAAATGTAAAAAAATTATTTGAATACACAAAATATAGACTATAGATTAATGTAAACAGTGTAAAGTGTCAGTGTGTAAAGTGTCCAGGGTGTCAAAGTGCAATGTGCAGATTAGAATGTGTGGTGTGTGTGCGTCATGTAGTCACAGTTCTGTTTTGTTTTTAACTGAGGAGAGTGGAGTTAACAGTCCGGACAGCCTGAGGAAAGAAGCTCTTCCTGAGTCTTTCTGTGTTCGCCTTGATGTGTCTAAGAATAAAAGTGTCCTCAAATATTCTCCAAGACGAGGTTCAGACGAGATGGAACAGCTCCTTCTTTGTGATAAAAAGTAAAATTCTTCAAGTTCAATTTAAAACATTTAATTTGAAAAACCTTGAAAAAAAAAGTATGTGAAGTCAGCACAATGAAATGCAATGCTGGGTTTACTACAGCAATAAAACTATTAATTATGATAATATAAATATTGGAATCGGAATCGGATCGGAAATTACAAAAGTGGATCGGTGCGTCTCTAATAAAAACAGGGTCGCTACCGATGCATCTGTGCGTCCCTCATTAGCGTCTCTTTTGGAAACATTGATGATGGATGTTTATTCCTTCTGGTTTCTGTTCAATTCCATTTTTAAACATTATTATCTTTTTTTGCCATTCATGGTCAAGCGCCCAATATGATAACTCGATTTGACTTTGAAGGTGTGATTAAGTGTATCATAACAGTAACCACCCTGGTATTTGCCCCTTCACATGCTAAAGCCAACGTATAAAAAGACTCTGTAGTCTATATATTGTTTTAAGAAATGGTTAAATATTGATTCAAGGCTGTGGCCGTGTACGTAAAAAAAAAAATCCTACACTGTATCATGTGGTCACTCGGATAAATAAACCAAAGCTTAGACAAAAGGTATTTAAAGACTGTGTCTCCTCTTCTGAGACATCCTGGTATATCTGCTACTCTGTCCTCACACCACCACATCAAGGTAAGGTTTATAATCTTATAACCCCGAGCCAGCTTCACAGAAGACATGTATTCATCTTCTCTTTAGGTTTAGTCTTTAGTTTTATTTGACAGTGAGAAATATAGAAACACGACTGCTAATGTGCTAATGCTAAGAAACGACTGACATCCCACACACTAGATCAGTGTCATTGTTCATGGAGAGTAAACAGACGTCTCCGCAGTGACTTTAATTCTCTTATACTCTTCATCTTTGCATAGATGGCTCCTGCTCTCCGTGTCTTTGTTCTCTGTTTGGCCAGCGGACTGATGATCTTAGCGAATGTGAGTAATGTTTGAAAAGTGGTAGCCTACTTTAAGCAGTTTTAAATAGTACAGTATCCCGCAGAGGTGGAGCTAGAATATGTTTCTTTTATTGACCAGGTTGGTGGTAACTTAATTCATAAAGCAACTTTTAAATGATTAAGTTGTGATTTGTTATAATATACAGCAAGCGAATGAGCTAACGATAATGTATGAAATGAGAAAAATTCTTGTAGTAAATGCTGCCATTGTAATCTCACTCATCATATCACTGTGGATTTCTTACAATTTTTTTATTCCACAGGGGAAACGTGCAGATCAAGAAGGTTGGTGGGCATCTTTTTTTGTTAGTTTTTTTTCTTTCATTTCTGGAGGTGACTGTGATGAAAATGGCCTTTCCATACCCTCTTGTTTCCTCATCCTAACTATTCCTCTTTAAGTTTTATGGATCTTTTGCTGAACTTTATCTGGACTCTCAGGGGTTGATAAACACTGTAGGTGCCAGCTAGAACATGATTTTTACCCGGCCTGATTTTTGGCCGGGTAAGGGGGAACCGTGGTTTTTCAAATCTTCTTTTCATACCAGTTTTTAAGAGATAACGTGAGACGTCTCTGTCGGGTGTAGTGAGCGTGATCCCACAAGAATTTCTACAAAAACACTGTAATCACAGGACAACACTGTGTAATAATGAACATGAATTCTACTGGCCCACGACATGCAATCAGATAGCCTGGCGTCTTTTAACCGTGCATCTGGGCCAGCGGGCCAGGTTCAATGTCGAGCCCTGAGTTTCTATGGACTGTCTCAAAAATGAGACAAGCAAGGATTAGCATTTGTTCAACTCCTCAGTATCACCTTTAAGTGCTTCTAATCAACATGAGGAACGTTTCACTCTTTTCTGTCTGATGAATTGATTACTGTAGTAGAGAGCTTTGTTCACCTCCCGGAAAATTTGTTCATTATCAGATAATTAAATAATGGAAATGACTTTTATGTGTGGCCCTGCTTTATTACTGTTGTTTTAATCTACAATTGTTTTGTAGGTGATTGTGATGGACCCTGCCCAGCTGGTTGGACTCATTTTGACACCCGCTGTTTCCTGTTCCAGCTCTGTGAAAAGGAGTGGTCAGATGCAGAGGTAGTACAGTTTCAGCTTCATGAAAAATGTTCTAAAAAAAGTTGCACCAATATGAATCATGCAATCAGAGAAACCTTCATTTTATGAATCTTTAATTGTAATGCACTTAAAATTCAATCAAAAATGTGTTCATGTAGCGCCCACTCAAATCTTAAATTATCTTAGACATTACAAAAACAGAAAGTGACGACAAGTCGACTGTATAAAAAGATGGATGACATGAAGGCTTCTGAAAAGTGAAGCCAAAAGCCGAAAAAGCAGTAGAACTGAAGGTAAGCAAACTGCACCAATTAGAGTAGTTTGTGAATTACCATAAAATCTGGTGTATAAGACGCGCTTTTAATACCAATTTTTTCATCTTAAAAGTTGTCTCTGCCTTATACGCAGTGTGCCCAATATACCAGTATAAAATGCTGACAAGCGCCGTAATTACCGTGGGTGCAGCTTCCAACATCACACACTACACATGACCTGACTTGATTAAAAATACAACCCCATTCATTGAGTATTGGAAGCTGATTGCACAAGGTGATTTTAAGGAACTCTTAACAGTCATTGCTCTCTTTCTTCTTCGACAGCGTCACTGCACTCTTCTTGACGGAAACCTGGCTTCAATCCAAACGTCAGGTGAGTACACCTTCCTCAGAGACCTGATTCACAAAGCGACCCACACCCACAAAGAAGTCTGGGTCGGAGGCTATGATTCTCCAAAGGTAAGTGTTTTGTCTGATGTCGACGTTCTGTATTGTATAGCAGTATTCTGAATGTTTATAAAAAAGAGTGGTTGAGGTCAGGTTCTCCAATTGTCATTTTATATTCTAACCTGTTAAAACCTTTTTCAGAACAACGTGTGGCTGTGGAGTGATGGTTCTCAGTTTGAGTTCAATGGCTGGGGAAAAGGAGAGCCTAATGACCACTGGGGGGAAGGATGTATGGAGATGAACTTCAGAGGTACAAATTAAGTATCTAAACCTTCTAGCTGTATGAAGCCAAACCAAGGCAATAAATTGTTGCCTAACACCATGTCCTACCAGCTAGATGTGAAATTATGAGCTCCCTGCTCTGTGAATTTCAGGCTCACATCTAGTGCTTTTGTATTGAAGTTGGACAACCTGAAGTGTGGTGCTCTGTATTGATGAACTCGTCAGAGGCTCGTCAATAAATGGCTTGCAGTGAGCAGAAAAAAAGTTTGTCTCTGGTGTTAACAGAAGTCAAAGGTCAACATTTCAGTCACAGATGTGGATATTATTTATGCACCATTTTCTTCACGTTGTAAAATAAGCTAGCAAGCTCTGCTGAGTGAGAAAAGGGAGTGCCAGTGCCGTTCATGCTCAGTCATATAGCCAATCAAAACTTCAGTTGTTTATCTAGAAGCTTCATTGACTGAAGATGTAAACATGTTTGCATGTCCTGCTTTACTTGCAGGTCAAGAATGATTGGCTAGATGGTGTAAAAAAAACGTGTTTGTGCCTTATCTGTCACATCTTTTGAAATCCATAGAGCTATTCAAGATGGAAAAAGTTATTGGAAATGGAATGGAAATTTTGTTATTGAGTTTAAGGCAACCTTACATTGCTTCAACCATTTTGTTTTAACATGATAACTATTGAAAATAAGAACGGACTTGATGAACAGGCCCTGATGTGATTTTGGTTTTGTTTCAACTTGTGTCAACAGGACGTGATTACGTCAACGATGCAAAGTGTAACAAGAAGAAATCTTTTGTTTGTGCCATGACGCCATAACCATCCATCTGCCATTGTGATGATGTCAAACCCCTCTGATGTCTTCCATCAGGATGTCAAGCCTCGATGACATCACTCCTGGAAAATATTTCAACAAATCATATTAAACTTTTCTTTCATCAATGACCTCAAACTCTTTGTAACACGTTGCTTGTAAAGCTAATTAAAATGTCTCTGTGTTTCCATGGAAACTTAATCTTGCCTGTTTGATTAAATACTCACTGTTGGGGAGAACTTGTCCCTTCTAAACCCAGTATGAACTAAACGTTTTAGAGTTTTTACAACCCCTTTTGGGCGCCGACAAGGGACCTCATAACAGACCATGGGAAAACGTGGTCCATCGCGTTAGTTACATGCATTACTATAACAGAGGGGGAGAGACAGCATAGTGTACCATAACTACATAGTGTATCAACATAACTAGGAGCTGGATGAAGCCTGAGAAGGTGTCTGATCCCGGACCCTGACTGGTAGATGCCTCCAAAAGAGAGGGTACTGATAAATGAAGGCTCTACCTCCCATACCACTTTTAGAGACTTTAGGGGCACAAGCAGGCCGGTATTAACAGTCACATTTTATCCTAATTTTCAACCATTTTGAATTTGTCTTAGAGCTCCTCAAAACATGTCTGTGAAGTGTGGTTAAGCTGAACATACAGTATCTGCTTTGAATAACTGCTTTTTAATATATGATGATATTACATTTCCCAATGTATACACCTGCAGTCTTGTGCAGTGAAATTTGACTTTGTGTTCTCAGGCTAATGTAAAACATATATAAAAAGTAACACATATTAATGTGTACTCTCAGTTTGCATCGCTGCTGCTATCTTTAACAGCTGTCATCAAATTATTTAAGAACAGGACTCCAGTCCTGAACAGAACAGCTAACGAAGGGGTGGTTAATAAAGTACACATTCTTCTCTCAATAAGAAGAGCAGATAGTTCCGAAGGCTCTGGTGAGAGTGGAAGTGCTAGTCGAACTTCTTCAGTGAGACAAAAGTGAAAATAAAGAGGCTCTGAAATGTACTCCTGCAATAGAATCCATCGAAGCCAAGAGATCACCAAAGTCAATAGAGCTGTGATCCTTGGGCGTGTACAGACTTTTGACTGGGGTGGCCCAACTGGGTCACTGACTGACGGGGCGGCTGTGGTTCAGTTTGTAGAGTCGGTCGTGTCTCAACTGGAAGGTCGAGGGGTCGATCCCTAGCTCCTGCAACAACATGTCCGGTGTTTCTTGGGCAAGACACTTAACCCCGAAATTCTTCCGCTGTATTGTTGGCGGTGTATGAATGTCTATGAATGGGATTAGTTACTTCTGATGGTCTCACTACATAGCAACCACTGCCATCAGTGTGTGATTGGGTAGGTGTGACATGTGGTGTAAAAGCGCTTTGAGTAGTCTGAAGTCTATGGACTAAACTATATAAGCTCAAGTCCATTTACCATTCACTTATGCAAGGGGGACGTGCAGCACAATGATGCACAAAAATCAATTATTTACCATTTCTAACCTCCAATAATATCTACTTTATAACACAAGATAACGGCAACATTACCTTAATTTTTCGATGAAACAAAAAAAAAGATTCCTGCTAAAGTCAGTATTTGAAGTACTTCAACATTTGCATGCAAACTTCTGCACAGTTTAACTTGCAACTTGGGACATTAAGCTCTGCCCTAAATCTTCATGGTAGTTTTTCCACTAGTTGTTCAATATTTTGATTTGGACCAAAGTGTTGGACTGACTGATTTAAAGAGATATGTTGCTAACACGGTGTTAGGTGGGGGTTATTTCTGTGTGAGATGGACAGTTATGAAATCGTGAAACAGACTGTGGATCATCTTAGATTTATTCAGCCATGGTCAGACAACACAGAAACACAACACACATGGCTGACAAAGTGCAGACCATCGCTGACCCATGCTGACCAACATCTCACAATCACTGACAATCACTGGCAAAATGGCAAAATGGCAAAATGGCAAAATGGCCAAGTCTTCATCACACAGTGTGGCTTATATTCTGCTAGAAGGTACAGCCCAAACAGTTGCTGACAACATATAGTTGGCTCCTATCCATTTATAGATCTGCTACTACTTAGGTGCTTCACCCATATAAGGTTACAGCTTCACAGACCCAAAAGTAGAATTACTGTGAGATGGTTGACACAATTTAAAGATATGTCCACAAAATTATCAAGATGAATGAATCCATGAAAATACGTACTAACAGAGGCTAATAAATGGATTTATAAAAACAAAGTCTCCTAGTTTTAACATTACAAAAGATATGAGGTAGTATAGCCCCCTCGTGAAAGAGAGTATGGCCTCTTCTTGCTCTCTCTCCTCGTGGTTTTAATAAATAACTCAAAGGAGTGTTGTTGTTCGCTGTTTTCTGTTAGATGACAAAGAACAATGACAAAAACCATTTAGCTAATATCTTGTTTAAACAGAATTCTAGTTTCCCTGAAGGCTGAGTAAAAAAAAATATTTATTTTTGATTTAAATAATCATACAGCATTGTGTGCTCACAGACACAATAAACAACCCTAAAGTCAATGCTGCCGGTTTCGGTCTCAAAGATACGCTCTTACTCGGCTCTGCGGTGAGTGCAACATCTCAACAAGGTAAGGCTCTCATTCTGACGCTTTATTATAAATCACTACATCTCCATTTATATCTAATTAAGACGTATTTTACCACATTTTAACCTGTTAACTATTATTATGAAAAGAGTATTTTCATGTATAAAGCTGCATTTATTTTCTATTATCTGCTCGTTGTCTGCAACACTGATAAAGGCCTTGTGCTGAAACGCATCCATTGTTGATCCGTATGCTGCTACTCTACCCAGATCAAACATACTGCTGACTTTTCTGTCTATTACTATTATTTTAATCATTGCTTTTATGGAACATCTAATTTTCTTGTAGGATTCTCCCTTAAGACTTGTTCAGTAAAATGTGTAATATTTTCCTTAATTTGTGGACAGTGGTGAAAATACAATTGAATGCTGTAATATACTGTAGAGTCAGGGTTAAATAATGAACAAGATAACTGTTTGTACTCGTCTTTACACAGATGGCGTCAGGTCTTCAGTTGATCATGCTCCTCTGTTTGGCCAGTGAACTGTGGGTCGGGGTTGTAAGTAATCTGCGGTAGCACTATAAACTTTTGACAGAACTTAACATAAAAATAGTAACATGAGCTGTAACATCCCCCACCCCCCTTAACCCTCAAAGTCAAACTTAATGAGTAACTGAAGTGAAGAATGATATGATCAAAAAAAATTGTCCAATGCTAAAGTTATCTTTTTTTTTTGTTTTCACAGACTTCATGTTCAATACTAACAGGTTGGTAGTCTTCAGAGGTGTTGAGGTGAAATCTTTTAAGAATAATCAATATTCTGTAATGCAGCATTGAAGATCGCGTCTTGCATTTGTTTGGGCTGTCCTCATAGATTGTACTAAACTTGATACTCTCAGACCTCAACGGGCTTTTCTCTTTGACTTTTTTTATGTTTGTGTTGTAGGTGAATCCTGCAGGACTTGCCCTCAGGGTTGGATTTATTTTGACAAAAGCTGCTACCTTTTCCAGTTCACTCCGATGGATTGGGCTGATGCAGAGGTGTGTTTAGAAATAATATTAATTATACCTGCTGCTGTGTCATTTTGCAGCAGAGTTTTTTTTATCTTTCACATCCTCACTTGTGTTTCTATTTTTCAAACCATCCCTCTTTTCTCTCTTTTTGCTTCACGTGTTGTCTCCTGCTTTAGCGCCACTGCACCGCCATTGGAGGAAATCTGCCTTCTGTCCACGCCAGTGACCAGTACAGCTTCCTCAGAAATACTATTCATCAGTTGACTGGGCAACATAGGGGTGCTTGGCTTGGAGGATATGATGCAGTGAAGGTGGGAGTGCTAGAAAGGAATCTGATGCAGCTGCCTCCTTTATAACTGTCATTAGATATATATTGTGCTCAATGCAGGAAGCCAACATTTTGAGAATGAATTGATTTTTAAAAATCTGATTGTTTCAGGAGGGTGTGTGGCTGTGGAGTGATGGTTCCCTTTTTGACTTCAAACACTGGGCCAAAGGGGAGCCAAATGACAGGAGTGGAAAAACAAACTGCATGGAGATGAACTTCCGAGGTACATAGTGATCTAGCACCCCCCGACCCCCGTGCACTCCCACTTTGTATTTGAAGTTCGGCCAACAATTTCTTTTGGCCACTTGATTGGGATTTACCTAAGCATAATATGGAAATCAAATTTCAGAATACAGTGTAAACGATGGATAGTGGTGGCAAGTCTATTAAGTACTTTGACTTTGTATCAGCACAGCTTTTTGAACGTGTCTCTTAAAAGTCTTAATTTCATGCAGATGATCTGGGAATGTCAACAGAAGGTTTACTGTCACTCATGTGTAGTCCTCCTTTTTCTTTTCCTCCAGGAAGGGATTACATCAACGACACCGCTTGCAATCAGAAGAGATCTTTCTTTTGTGAGAAGAACTTGTGAAGTCCTCGCTGCGTGCTCACACTAGTTAATCAATCAATCTTTATTTCTATAACGTTAATTCATAACAAATGTCTCGAGACCTCTTACTGAAGAGCAGGTTTTTTCCCTCCCTATGATGTCACTCGTACCAGGATGTCCAACCTTGATGACATCACTGCTTTGAGATTGAGTCGCAGTTGTCATTGAATACATGTTGAATCAATAAAGTAATGAATCCTGTTCTGGAGTCTTATCACCTCTTCTCATCAATCTCATCCACAAACGCTCTTTATTTCTAAGAATATGTTTTTGTGTGTGTATTGTGTATAAATACAAAAAAATTTAACATTTCAAATAATTAAATAACAGCAGAGGGTGAAGGGTACTAGGTCCTCTACTGCAAGATTTTGTTCAGTCAATACAATACAGGACAACTTACAGGCAGTGGACTTAAAAGGTGAAGAACTGGAATTGTAAGATTAAAAATGGTCATTAATTGGGCAAAATGGTCGAGCGGTTAGGCCGGTGGTTCACAACGTTTTTGGCTTGTGACTCAACTTTCACTTCACCAAACTCTGAGGACCCCATACATCCAAAACACAGACAGCTTTTTGCTGGAATAATTATTTTTTCATTCTACTGTGTTACAAGTAAACATTAATTTCAGACCCCATTAAGGCTGTTTCATGTGTATTACTGTTGACAAAGGCAGAAAAGCCAGGATCAGAATATATTTTCCTCAGTGTTCGATATGTACAGCAAGGTGAGCGTGTATTAACAAGGCTGGAAAGTAATGATGACCACATGATCCATGGACGTGAGACAGACAGAGATACTTCAAGTTGGTTAGTTTTTAGAACGGGCTTCAGCTCACAACGTCTTGATTCTTAATCCAGGAAGAATGCTACCATATATTTTAATTATTTATCAATAATAAGACATTTCAGGACAGCCCATTTGATTTCCAAACAACCCCATATGTGGTCTGGACCCCAAGGTGGGAAAAGCCTGGGTTAGATCTCGCCCCATGTACGGAGGTTGTAGGACTCCAAGCGGGCAGCCCAGGTTCATGTTCTGACTCCTTTCTCATCTGTCATTCCCCTCTCTTTCTCTCTCTCTCTCTCTCTCTCTCTTTCTCTCTCTCTCTCTCTCTCTCTCTCTCTCTCTCTCTCTCTCTTTCTCTCTCTCTCTCTCTCTCTCTCAGGTGCAACTCAAATTGTGCTCAAGTCCAACTGGTGCACAAAGCATAACTTTAAGTCTTTAAGTAACGTTAGTCCCAGGCGTACGCCCAACTGGTGCCCTCGGCTCCTGGAGATCACCCAAGTCATTATGGTTCATCTTTTTGGGAAGTCAAGTTAAGTACAAAATGTCATGATAGTTTTTCCACTGACTGACGATACAACAAAGAGTTCTGTCTGTTTTGTTAAAAGTAGTTATGGATGAGGTCTAAACAAATTAAACAATGATTGATTGACTTAAAAACACACAAAGACATACTTCAAACTACGCTGCTAACATGGCTAACAATAATATTTATTTAACAAAGTGTCATGTTTTCTTTCCCCTCGTGGTTCTTCTAAATAATTCAAGCGACCCCGGGGGCTTAGACCCTTTAGCTATTGCTGGAAGGCAGTAAATCCATACATTGTCACTTTGTTTGTAAAGAATTCTGGTTCTCCCTGAAGAAAAATTAAGGTAAATAATCAAACACTATACGCTTCAAGACAACGCAAACAGCTAGAAAAGGGTATATAAACTCTTTGTTCCCGTCAGAAACAAAACCTCTTACTTTGTTCTGCTTGAAGTGCGAGAACATTCAACATCATAACAAGGTAAGGCTTTCACTCTGGGCTTCTTTATAGATCACTGTTCTTGATTTTTATCCATTTATATCTACTGTAAAGACGTTAGAAGTCCCATTTTCTTGTCGCCTTCTCCAGAAGACTCGTTCAGTAAAACTTACAATCCTCCTTTAATACTGGACAGCATTTTAATTGACCTTTTCAGTTTTGAATATAGGCCCATTGTGCATTTCTTGATTATACTTTGCCTTTCACAGATGGTGTCAGGTCTGAAGTTGATCCCACTCCTCTGTTTGACCAGTGGACTGTGGGCTGCGGTTGTAAGTATTCTGCACATTAAAATATTTACTTTTGAAGGATATTTGTTGTAAATCTGAACACTTAAAAGTTACCACAGGAGCTGCTTAAAAGACTAAATGTCTGTTTCTTTAACTAACTGCAGGAGAGTAAATGAATGAAACACTATTTGACAAGTAAAACTATCATCTATGTTCAGTAGGGCTGCGAATCTTTAGGTATCCCACGATTCGATCCGATTTAGATTCTTGGGGTCAGGATTCGATACAGAATTGATTTTCGATTCAAAACGATTAATGGATCTATGATTTCAAAGTCTATTTATGAATTAGTACATACTTCAGGATCTACTCCAGTCATCTGTGAGACTGGCTGAATCGCTTGTTGCTCTATTTTGCGTTCTACTGAGTTAAAGAGTTAGCCTTAGCACTTAGCAGGGAGTGACTGAAAAAAAAAAAAAGGAAGTGGCCAAGAAGTGGCCTTCCTTGCCTGTTGACTAGCAGCACCTCTGAAAGATGTTATCTCGATGAAAATCAAAGATGAGTCGTGCGCTAAAGATTTTTTTTTTCTTTACAGGTGTATGGGAATCATTCAGGTTGGTAGTCTTCAGAATGTGGAGCTGATATAGTCACTGTGATGTGGTTTGGACTTTGTGACTGCTGCTCTTCAGATTGTTGACGTCTTCACTGCTGTTATTTGTTTTGACCGTCCTCGTAGATTGAATTTTAAGATCGATATTTTCAGACCTAACCCAGCTTTGCACCATGATTGTGTTCTCATTTTCTACGTTTGTGTGATAGGTTCCTGTAAAACGTGCCCGTCTGGTTGGACTCAGTTTGACGGAAGCTGTTACATGTTCCACTTCAGAGATATGGATTGGGCTGATGCAGAGGTACATTTTGAAATAATGGTTCAGTCACATTTCAGGACATGATGTTAGAAAGGCAGCTCAGTATTTATCTTCAAACCTCTGCCTCCTCTCCGTCCTCACTTTGTGTCTGTTTGCTTCACATTGTGTCTCCTTCAGCGTTACTGCACTACTGTTGGTGGTAATCTGGCTTCTGTCCACAACAAAGAGGAGTACACCTTCCTCAAAACTACTCTCCAGGCAGTGGCTGGAAAACAGTTAGCGGTTTGGCTTGGAGGATATGATGCTGTAAAGGTAAGTATTTTCACACAATCTAATGCAGTCATCCCTGTTGGTCCTGCTGTTGAATATATTCTTTATGTACTTTGAATCAGGAGATATGAGAGCTGTGTTATGGACTGCTGAATGCCATCAGTCTCTTTTTTTTTTTATTTTAAATGTTCCCTTCAGGAGGGTGTGTGGCTGTGGAGCGACGGCACTTTCTTTGACTTCAAATTGTGGTTTAAAGGGGAGCCAAACAACTACACTGGACACGAGAACTGCATGGAGATGAACTTCAGGGGTAACCCTCACACTAGCACATTGTCTTACTCTTCTTTTAATACCTTTGAATGAATGGATGAAATATTTATTGCCCCTAGGGGGAATTTGCCTTTCACCGAGAGCATAAAAACAATATAAGTTAAGAAAGACGTAGAAACAACAAACAAAATCTGATGTTAAGTATCAAGTTCAATAAAGTGCAGAGAGCCGAGTTCATTCTGTATGATGCAGCGTTTGCGGTCGTTTTTGTGGATTCATGATGTGCACGAAGATTGTTTACAAAATGTTGCTGATTCAAAGCAGAACTTTTTTGAAAACACAAGCGATTCCATTTATAGTGACCTCACTGATGTAGGAGTCATATTTCAGTCCTAATGAAGTCCATAATTGTTTCATGTTTTGTTTATATGCCTACAGGAAGGGAGTATGTCAACGATAGCAACTGTAATGTGAAGAGATCTTTCTTTTGTGAGAAGCGCCTGTGAAACCGCTGCTACGTGCTGACTTCTGTAACATGAAGAATCTGTTACTACCAAAGATGTCACTTGATCCAGATATCAAGCCTCGATGACATCGCTGTGTAGGATCTGATGGAATATCTGATTAATCAATAAAAAGATAAATCTGCTGATCTGTTTGTCTACCTTCTTTACTTTATTTTTATTTACTTTACAACAACTCTCAATATAAATACTTTTTATTAATTACAAAACAGACTGATGGATAGACAGCAGTGTGTGAATGACGCACCAGGTTCTGAGCTGCATGATTTTTGTGCAGACGAAATAAGACCGAAGGGAACAAATCACCAACTAACAAGGTGCATGAAGAGTGAGAGGCTTTAAGAGGTCAAAAAGCTCCAGCAACACTTGTAGTAAGAAGATCAACTTTGTTAGCAAATTAGGCCGACGTGTTTCACCTTGTTGCCTCCATCAGGGTCATGCACGGTATTTTACAGTAGGCCTTCAGAAGTGAGGGAATCGAGGCACAGCCAAGTTGTTCATTATACTCCAGAAAGTGGCTGGCCAACAGCTAAACATTTGGCTTGGAGTAAATGATGCAGCAGAGGTGGGAGTGTCAGAAATGAACAGAATCTGATGTAGTAACCTCGTATGTACCTGTACCTGAGCCTGCCAAATGCTCTTGTCCTTCTTGTTTTATTAACAACACATTCTAAAAACATTTCTTTAAAAACATGATGCACATGGACGAACTACGGCTGTGGCTCACCACCAACAAACGGATTATGGACAGTAATCTCTTGAATATTACGGAATCATAGCTAAACACCCATAAACCGGACAATGCTATAATGCTCGCGGGACGTTGTCTTCTACGGGCAGATAGAATAATAGAATCTGGTTAGACGAGAGGGGGGGGTCTATGCATCTATGTCAACAAAGAGTGGTGTACAGATTCCTCCATCATTGAATGTCATTGCTCAGTTAACCTAGAATATCTCACGGTTAAATGTAGACCCTTCTATCTGCCCAGAGAATTCACAAACGCTATTGTTATTGCAGCATACATAGCCCCCGATGCTAATGCTAAGCATGCAATGAAAGAACTGTATACTGCCATTAGCAAACAACAGACCTTACACCCCGAGGCAGCCTTCATTATAGCGGGTGATTTCAATCACGCCAAGCTAAAGTCTGTTTTACCTAAATTCATTGCCCATCTTGGTCAATCTGACCATGTCTCCCTGTTCATGTTGCCTAAATATGCCCCACTTATCACATGTGGGGAAACCACAGTGAAGACAGTTAAGGTCTGGCCATAAGAGGCAGTGAGCAAACTGCAGCAGCGTTTTAAAGAACATGACTGGAATATGCATGCCTCTGTAGCCACCCTTGACTCCCACATAGGCATACACCTCCTCTGTTCTGGACTTCATTAAATCTAGCATAGAGAGTGTCACCACACTGAAAAGGATCACTACATTCCCTAACCAGAAGACGTGGATGAACAAGGAGGTCCGAGTCCTGCTGAAGGCACGCGACATCGCGTACAGAGACGAGGTCCAGCGCCTAGCTGTGTGGTGCGCCGACAACCACCTGTCCCTCAACACCATGAAGACCAAAGAGACCATTGTGGACTTCAGAAAGTCTAAAGGTGGCACACACACCCCCCTCCATATCGACAGGGCAGAGGTTGAACGTGTCACCAGCTTTAAGTTTCTGGGAGTCCACATCTCCGAGGATCTCACCTGGTCCCTCAACACCTCTTCCTCGATCAAGAAGGCTCACCAGCGCCTCTTCTTCCTGAGGAGGCTAAAAAGGGCCCACCTGTCCCCTCAGATCCTGGCAAACTTTTACCGCAGCACCATCAAGAGCATACTTACTAACTGTGTCACTGTATGGTATGGCAACTGCTCCGCCTCTGACCGGAAGGCACATCAGAAGGTGGTGAAAACTGCCCAATGCATCATCGGTTCCCCACTCCCCTCCATCAAGTCTGTCCATAAAAAGCGATGCCTACACAAGGCGCGCTGCATTGCTAAGGACAATTCCCATCCCAACCATTGACTGTTTACCTACCTCCCCTCCAGAAAGCGCTACAGGTCTCTTGGCACATGGACCAGTAGGTTCAGAAGTTTTTACTGAACTCCATACCCAAGTGGTTGCTTGTTGGCTGTTTGAGTGTTTCAGGTGCCAGTAGGTGTGGCTGGGTCGTCATGGATTGGAGAACACCTGAGACCGGTGTTCTCCAATCAATGAGATCCCCAATGCTCCCTGTTCCTTTTGTTAAATTGATATATTTTGTGAATAAATGTAAACCTGTATTTTAGAGTAGCTCCTTGTCTCCTCCCACTTTGAGCTGGCCGTGACAAATCTGGGGCTGACTGAGTGGATTCTGACCGTTATTTTGAAGTTATTGAAGGCATTTTTGGTTCCAATACATAGTTTTCTACAAACACTGATGATCCCTGTCCCTGATGACTATTCTTTATAGCTTTGGGTTAAATGTCTAAACTTTATTTTGGACATCTTGTTCTGAATTTGTTTCAGGAATTTGTTTCCCAATGAAAATGTGATTGAACTACACTGAAGATCCTCTGATGTTTATTGAGCACAGTCCTAATAACAAGGAACACATGAACTGAAATCTCACTTCCAAATGTGAACACACAACCTGACTTCTTAACCTTGCTTTCTTTCTAATCTTGCAACAACTTGGCTGTGCCTCGATTCCCTCACTTCTGAAGGCCTACTGTAAAATACCGTGCATGACCCTGATGGAGGCAACAAGGTGAAACACGTCGGCCTAATTTGCTAACAAAGTTGATCTTCTTACTACAAGTGTTGCTGGAGCTTTTTGACCTCTTAAAGCCTCTCACTCTTCATGCACCTTGTTAGTTGGTGATTTGTTCCCTTCGGTCTTATTTCGTCTGCACAAAAATCATGCAGCTCAGAACCTGGTGCGTCATTCACACACTGCTGTCTATCCATCAGTCTGTTTTGTAATTAATAAAAAGTATTTATATTGAGAGTTGCTGTAAAGTAAATAAAAATAAAGTAAAGAAGGTAAACAAACAGATCAGCAGATTTATCTTTTTATTGATTAATCAGATATTCCATCAGATCCTACACAGCGATGTCATCGAGGCTTGATATCTGGATCAAGTGACATCTTTGGTAGTAACAGATTCTTCATGTTACAGAAGTCAGCACGTAGCAGCGGTTTCACAGGCGCTTCTCACAAAAGAAAGATCTCTTCACATTACAGTTGCTATCGTTGACATACTCCCTTCCTGTAGGCATATAAACAAAACATGAAACACACAATTATGGACTTCATTAGGACTGAAATATGACTCCTACATCAGTGAGGTCACTATAAATGGAATCGCTTGTGTTTTCAAAAAAGTTCTGCTTTGAATCAGCAACGTTTTGTAAACAATCTTCGTGCACATCATGAATCCACAAAAACGACCGCAAACGCTGCATCATACAGAATGAACTCGGCTCTCTGCACTTTATTGAACTTGATACTTAACATCAGATTTTGTTTGTTGTTTCTACGTCTTTCTTAACTTATATTGTTTTTATGCTCTCGGTGAAAGGCAAATTCCCCCTAGGGGCAATAAATATTTCATCCATTCATTCAAAGGTATTAAAAGAAGAGTAAGACAATGTGCTAGTGTGAGGGTTACCCCTGAAGTTCATCTCCATGCAGTTCTCGTGTCCAGTGTAGTTGTTTGGCTCCCCTTTAAACCACAATTTGAAGTCAAAGAAAGTGCCGTCGCTCCACAGCCACACACCCTCCTGAAGGGAACATTTAAAAAAAAAAAAAAAGAGACTGATGGCATTCAGCAGTCCATAACACAGCTCTCATATCTCCTGATTCAAAGTACATAAAGAATATATTCAACAGCAGGACCAACAGGGATGATTAGATTGTGTGAAAATACTTACCTTTACAGCATCATATCCTCCAAGCCAAACCGCTAACTGTTTTCCAGCCACTGCCTGGAGAGTAGTTTTGAGGAAGGTGTACTCCTCTTTGTTGTGGACAGAAGCCAGATTACCACCAACAGTAGTGCAGTAACGCTGAAGGAGACACAATGTGAAGCAAACAGACACAAAGTGAGGACGGAGAGGAGGCAGAGGTTTGAAGATAAATACTGAGCTGCCTTTCTAACATCATGTCCTGAAATGTGACTGAACCATTATTTCAAAATGTACCTCTGCATCAGCCCAATCCATATCTCTGAAGTGGAACATGTAACAGCTTCCGTCAAACTGAGTCCAACCAGACGGGCACGTTTTACAGGAACCTATCACACAAACGTAGAAAATGAGAACACAATCATGGTGCAAAGCTGGGTTAGGTCTGAAAATATCGATCTTAAAATTCAATCTACGAGGACGGTCAAAACAAATAACAGCAGTGAAGACGTCAACAATCTGAAGAGCAGCAGTCACAAAGTCCAAACCACATCACAGTGACTATATCAGCTCCACATTCTGAAGACTACCAACCTGAATGATTCCCATACACCTGTAAAGAAAAAAAAAAATCTTTAGTGCACGACTCATCTTTGATTTTCATCGAGATAACATCTTTCAGAGGTGCTGCTAGTCAACAGGCAAGGAAGGCCACTTCTTGGCACCTAAAGATTCGCAGCCCTACTGAACATAGATAATAGTTTTACTTGTCAAATAGTGTTTCATTCATTTACTCTCCTGCAGTTAGTTAAAGAAACAGACATTTAGTCTTTTAAGCAGCTCCTGTGGTAACTTTTAAGTGTTCAGATTTACAACAAATATCCTTCAAAAGTAAATATTTTAATGTGCAGAATACTTACAACCGCAGCCCACAGTCCACTGGTCAAACAGAGGAGTGGGATCAACTTCAGACCTGACGCCATCTGTGAAAGGCAAAGTATAATCAAGAAATGCACAATGGGCCTATATTCAAAACTGAAAAGGTCAATTAAAATGCTGTCCAGTATTAAAGGAGGATTGTAAGTTTTACTGAACGAGTCTTCTGGAGAAGGCGACAAGAAAATGGGACTTCTAACGTCTTTACAGTAGATATAAATGGATAAAAATCAAGAACAGTGATCTATAAAGAAGCCCAGAGTGAAAGCCTTACCTTGTTATGATGTTGAATGTTCTCGCACTTCAAGCAGAACAAAGTAAGAGGTTTTGTTTCTGACGGGAACAAAGAGTTTATATACCCTTTTCTAGCTGTTTGCGTTGTCTTGAAGCGTATAGTGTTTGATTATTTACCTTAATTTTTCTTCAGGGAGAACCAGAATTCTTTACAAACAAAGTGACAATGTATGGATTTACTGCCTTCCAGCAATAGCTAAAGGGTCTAAGCCCCCGGGGTCGCTTGAATTATTTAGAAGAACCACGAGGGGAAAGAAAACATGACACTTTGTTAAATAAATATTATTGTTAGCCATGTTAGCAGCGTAGCTCGAGGTATGTCTTTGTGTGTTTTTAAGTCAATCAATCATTGTTTAATTTGTTTAGACCTCATCCATAACTACTTTTAACAAAACAGACAGAACTCTTTGTTGTATCGTCAGTCAGTGGAAAAACTATCATGACATTTTGTACTTAACTTGACTTCCCAAAAAGATGAACCATAATGACTTGGGTGATCTCCAGGAGCCGAGGGCACCAGTTGGGCGTACGCCTGGGACTAACGTTACTTAAAGACTTAAAGTTATGCTTTGTGCACCAGTTGGACTTGAGCACAATTTGAGTTGCACCTGAGAGAGAGAGAGAGAGAGAGAAAGAGAGAGAGAGAGAGAGAGAGAGAGAGAGAGAGAGAGAGAGAGAGAGAGAGAGAGAGAGAGAGAGAGAAAGAGAGGGGAATGACAGATGAGAAAGGAGTCAGAACATGAACCTGGGCTGCCCGCTTGGAGTCCTACAACCTCCGTACATGGGGCGAGATCTAACCCAGGCTTTTCCCACCTTGGGGTCCAGACCACATATGGGGTTGTTTGGAAATCAAATGGGCTGTCCTGAAATGTCTTATTATTGATAAATAATTAAAATATATGGTAGCATTCTTCCTGGATTAAGAATCAAGACGTTGTGAGCTGAAGCCCGTTCTAAAAACTAACCAACTTGAAGTATCTCTGTCTGTCTCACGTCCATGGATCATGTGGTCATCATTACTTTCCAGCCTTGTTAATACACGCTCACCTTGCTGTACATATCGAACACTGAGGAAAATATATTCTGATCCTGGCTTTTCTGCATTTGTCAACAATAAAACACATGACTTCAAGGAATTTCCAAGATCAATTCTGGAAGAAATCTCTGAATCAGTTGAGGAAACGGTCTTATGTGTTGAAGTAAATATGTCTGTAAATGTTTTTATTTCTATATTTCTACTGCTATACTGTATATTTTGGAGAAACTGTAACGATCGAATTTCCCTCTGGGATTAATGAAGTATTTCTGATTCTGAGGACCTTAGTGGGAGTGGCCTGCGGTGCTGTGCATTCTGGGATTTGGTGTTTTTCATCCACATGATCCAAAAAGACACTTTCTGCCTTTTCTCGGCCAAGAAGGTCCCAACTTCAGAATTTATTTCACATTTCTACATATATGACCCAATGTCAATACAGACTCATGTTTCATCCCTTTAAAAAGGATGTAGTCACATGGCAGCGTATGTTCCTCCAGTTAAACAAGCCCTTACTTGTTTGTTTAAGATGATTCTGCTTAATTTTCATACATCCTGTTTGAAAATGAAAAGATCATCATAATTACATAGACTAGTATCAGAGCTCTACCCAGATGTAGTTCATCAATCACTCTGAAGCTTCAGGCATTTCCCGTTGTTTGCTAGCTGACAAACGTGTTGAGGAGGCGCTTAACCAGCGGTGAATGCTGAACTACTTCTAAAACTCATATACAGGCAGGACTTTGTCTATGCACATTTGCATTAAGAGAGGATCTGGTTGGTTATAGTCGTGATATGTGAAAGAAGACTGAACAGAGGAAGAGGACTGCGATGACTAATGCACGTTGTAAACATTAAGTGAACTTCCTCATTTGATTTCCACAGAAGTCTTTTTCTTCCTTTTCATAATCCGTTATAAAAAAACTTTTTATCAGTCTGCCACACCCAACGAGTCCTGCACTCTGACGTTTATTGTGTGTTGACATTTTAACCCACCTGATAGGAGCCGTTGGAATCAGGTTAACCTATTTAACACAATTAGAATTCTTCACAAAACAGAAGAAATACAGATAGTCTTGCCTGCTCACACACCTGCACCCTCCTCCACAGGGTTTAAACTGCCTTACACGGGGCAGGTGGCGTCGTGGTTGGTGCGCACGCCCCAAGTGTGGAGGCTGTGGTCCTCTGGGCGGGCAGCCCGGGTTCGGGTCCGGCCTGTGGCTCATTTCCCGCATTCTCCACTCCCTCCTTTATTTCTGACTTTATCCACTGTCCTATCTGTACAATGAAGGCACCTGTTCAAGTGGACTCAGGCACAGTACCTGAGTACAGTCAGGGGTGATTCTAGACTCAGTTGGGGCCCTAGGCAAAAATCAATTGGAGGCTCCTCAAACCAGAGTTCATCACCATCATGTCTTCCAGTGTCCCAGCGTTTACTCCTCATCCTTTTATTTCCTGTCTCTTTTTTCTGTCCTATAGACGGTTGATTACTCTTCATTTTTGTTGTTGACTTTCATTGACACACTTTAGTTTTAACAGCAATAACACTGCAACGCTTAGCAGGGCAATGAGAGTGAGTGCTATCAGATGGTGGCCCCCTTAGGGAGGTTTCCTACGTCATTGCAAAATTTGTATATTTTGGCACTGATTTGGTTAAAGTAAGTCAGCCCTCAGGGGGCCCCCTACTGGTCTGGAGCCCCAAGCAGTTGCTTGCCTTGTCTCTTGACAAGTAGCGCCTCTGAGTACAGTACGCGTACAAACTGAACAAATGAACCAAACTTTGGGGTCAAGCGTACTCGGATCCGGGCCTGGGTTACTTGTTTGGAAACACCCTCAATCTATGAAAAAAGGTGGAGGTCGTAGCAGGACGTAACACAAGACATCTGTTCCTCTCTGGCTGTTCTTCCTGTTGATCTTAGCATCTCAATATATCACACCTTATCTTATCAGCAGGGTTATCAGTTTAAGTGTTTAAGGAAGTAAACTGAACAAGTAACAGCACACACCTCAAAGGGATCCAGGAAATCAGGAGAAAAAATAAAGAAGCCCTGTAAAGTTCTTTCAAGTTATCAGATGTTGTGTCAATAGGCTGCAACTCATCAAAACTCAGAGTGTTCTCAAGCTCTAACGAACAGAAGCAAAGTCCTTTTTAAATAATATTTTATACTCCATCCTAACATCTGTCACTTGGTTATTAGACCATAAAGAACTGAACCGAGGGAGAGGTCCACATCGAGTACCACTCCTTAAAAACACTTTGAGTTTCCTTCTGGGAATCCCACAGGAGTCTGTATTTCCTTTTGGTAATTAGTCATTTACGAGCTCGAGTCGTGCGTTACAACCGGCTGGACATGGAGCCATCTGAGTCATGTCAATATGTAATCTATCAATACATTTCGTTTTTTACAGTCCTTGACCCACAAATATAAATATAGACGTGAGTTCAAGTTGCCATCAGTCCCACTTCTTACCTTCTACCAGCACCATGCTCCTCTTCAGCCTCAGCAGCACACTGTGTAAGTAGATTTGATTTCTGCTCCAATGATCTTAAATATTAAACATGAAGATTAGTTTTGACAGAACGTTTGATTAAGACAAGACTTCTTTCTATGTTTCTTTCTTTTACTTTCAAAGTAGAATTAATCTGTACATTCAATAATTAAATAAACAAGTATGACTTCAGTAAGAGTGTTAAAGATCCAACCAGTAAGATGTGTAGAGAGTGAGATGATAAAGGTATCTTACTATCTGATCAGACATTAAGGAAACATGCTATGTTGAAGTGCTGGCTTCTCTGACAACAATGCAGCAGCCAGTATGTCCTCCTTCTAACTTTAGATTCTGATCCTGAATGCTCTGGATTTGTTTGGACCAGAGAAGGTAGGCGCTTTTAAGACACCCCCCCACACAGCCGTTTTGGACGCCCCTCGGTTTGTCAGATATGAGAGCAGTTATCAGGTCAACAGGTGTTGCAGTGATGGAAGCGGTCAAGAGAAGTGGTTCAGATAGAAGTGATTGTACCCGACCTAAAAAGCCTCTGCATGTTTCTAATAAGCTCCACGAGCAGAAACGTGCTCAAACTAGGATCAATATTGGAGATGCTTTTGAAAAATGGAGAGAGGTTAGAACACAGAAAGGTTTACAGACCCATGCAGAGCTGGATAAACACTGAAGCTTCAGAGTCCACCACATGGTGACCTGAGTGAGCATCCACTCTAGAGAGGAGGGGGGGGACAGCTCTCTATGATGTTTTTAATTTAGACTGCAGTACCCATTTTCAGAGTCAGAGTTACAGATTAATCCTGTAATAAAATAAAAAAGGCCACAAAGGGTCATCTGATCGGGTTCTTCCCCTCTGCCCTGAACTCAACATCACACCAATGAAGCCGCGAAGAAAAACTCAACTGTCTTGAGTTTTTATTATTATTGTCTTACATCGTTGCTTTGTTTTTATCTTAACCTCCTTACAGTGTTCTTGTTGTTCATTAATTGATCAGTTGATCTCAGGTTATATAAACTCAACAGGTCACACAGTTTGACTGCAGTATTTATTTTCTTTCAGTGCTTGCAGCGACATGTTCACTGATGACAAAAGGTAAATATTTATCTGCATGCATGTCAATATTTCTTTGTAAAACACACCTGAACTCATACTGTACTCATATTTGTTTTAGGTGTTTCCACAGAGAGTATCACCGTATGTGACAACAGCGTCAGTGTTCAACATCTAAGCTGTGGTGAGAAGAAGAACATAAAGCTTTATACATTCACAGAGATGATGTTTAAACTCTTTAAAACTGTGTTGACAATACTATAACAAATCAAAGTGTGATATCAGAGCTCTGTGGTGAGGATGAAGCATCATGGTGTCAAAAAAATTAAGCAATCGCAGAATACTGTATTTTATATAATTTTAGGATTATCTTTATATCCCCTGGTTTCATAAATATTGCAACTCTGATCTTGTGTTGTATCCGTGTTACAGAGAGTGGAGTGATCATTGTGCAGGAAGCTCTGTATGGACGTCTGAACAGAGAGACGTGCAGTGAAGGTCGGTCTCCTCAGCAGCTCGCCAACACACAGTGCTCTCAGCGGGGGACTGTGGATGTCCTCAGGAGGAGGTATGGACCCCAAAAAACCCAAAACAACTCATTTAAACTACAAGCTGGAAGAGTTCTTATTCTCTTCCTGAAAAGCAGAATCTGAAAAATTTTACAGTTTTCTGTTATAATCATAGAGTGTATTAGATATGGACGTAATGTCAGTGACATCACCCATTGGTTTCTGAAGAGGCGTTAGGGAAGCCAAGCGATGGCAGTCGCCATATTGGAAATTCTGGCTCAATCTGAAATCAGTCCATCTAGAGACGGACGCCTTCAGCCTCATCCAGAACACCTAAACACGCACAACATCACCTGTCAATCAACTCAACCACGCCCCCAATCATGCAAATTAACCAATGACGCTTAGCTTGAATAAAAAATAACAGAGAAGTTATTTTAAAAAAGCCTCCCTCTCCGCTGTTTAGTGTTGATTTCTGCTGTAATGGACATTTTTATCATGGGACCTAATGGGGATCCCCCACTTTTGTAACCAGCCTCAAGTGGACACTCGAGGAACTGCAGTTATTTTGCATTTCTGGATTGGCTTCATTTTTGTTGCTTGGTTATCATTTAAAAATCCAGCTTTCAAAATGTTGTTTAACCCTCGTGCCCCCGAAGAGAAAGCTTCCTAACTACTCCTCATGACCAGGAAATGGTCTAAGGACCGTATGTTTCACATTTCTTTAATTTATTGATCTATTCCTCAAAAGATTTATTTTTATTGAAATGTTTTTAATTGGTTTTGGTCATAATACATTTTCAAAATTAGCATCAGACTGTTTTTGCCTTTCATACCTTTTATGAGACCCTCCAATTTTAGGAGCATGCCTTCGTCGTGTGAGATGAGAAAAAAGGTTAAAGTGTCATTAATAAACAGGAAATATTTTCCCCAGATTTTATTTTGATTAATCACAGAGTTATTGAGTCTTAGACTTTCCTCCTTGAACCAAAAGACTGAGGAATCAGTGCCGTCTTTATGAGTGTACACGACACGGAAACCTGAAATATAGTCAAAGAGCAGACAGGAAATTGACCTCTGATATCACACTTTGTACAAACACTCATCACTATAACCTGCACTTTGAATGAAGATGCTTGAAAGCGATTCTCTTCCTCCTGTTTTAGTTTATAACTGTGACTGTTTCTTGTAGGTGTGATGGAAAAAAAGTTTGTGAACTAAACTCAGAAGTCGTCCGATTCTCCGATCCCTGCTACGGCATCTCCAAATACCTGCAGACCAACTTCACCTGCTTCCCAGCAAGTCAGTCACACCTTTAAGATACATTAGTTGTTCCAATATACTGATTGTTTGCAAAGGGAACCAATTAAAAAACAAAACCTGCCCACGCTTGATGATTATATCTAAGTTTTGGTAGTCTGAAGAAAAATTTTATTCATTTTTTTAATTCTAGATGTTTGATGCTTGGAAAGGTGGAAAACATGATGTCACCATGAAAGACAATGTGACATAGTGAAGTGGTGACAGGCGAATACACAGGGATTGAAATGTAGTAACACATCTTATACACACAATGTGGACTTAGCCTGGCTACACTCCAGACGATGTTCAAATCTGAACTGATTTTAAAAACATGGGATTTGACATGAGAACATCTTGGGGGATCAAACATGACTTTTGGATCAGCTACAAGCTAACTAAAGAGCGCTAACATTAGCCCTGCTAATACAAAAATAGGGGAGCGTGCCTATGTTCCCACAGCCCTATGTTCCCACATTTCTAAGATTTTTTTTCCAAAATTAGGCCCACAATGTTCCCACATTTCCTTTATCATGAATTTGTATCAGATTTGATCCCCCTTCCTCCCAATTTGGTAACCAATTACACCCGACCTATTATCCAGTAGCAATGGACTACAGATGGAATGTAGCTTTTAGCTAAATCTGGTGCGCCCATCTCTTTGTTTATTGCAAACATTTAATGTAAGTGCACATTGTCCTTTTAAATAAACAAACTAAACTAAGTAGCACAGAGGCCTCACATCGACTAGCTTCCGGTCAGATTGGTCGAATGAAGCGCAGCAACTGGACGCAAACCATAGTGGGAGGATAGGGCTTAAATTGAAGGGAAATGTAGGAACACAAGATCTCATTTTGAAAATGTCCTAGAACTGTGGGAACATATGGCCCAAAAATAGAGGCACCAGGCAATTGCAGCTCGAGCAAAGGACAAGGTGCGACACCTACTGGATCAAAAAGTTGCACATTCTTCATTTAAAATGCTACTTAAAAACAAGTAGACCATGAATTTCATACTTAAAAGGTTTTTTTTGTCAGTTTGGGGTTTAAAGACGGTAACTTGAGAGAGCGCTGGCTGATGGGCTCGTTACAGTGTTAACGTCCTTCAAAGTGTTGATGTCTAACCTGCCCGATGTTCCTCTCACAGTTCGCCAGGTCATTTGCGAGGAATCTTTTGCAGACCTACGTTGTGGTGAGATCACTTTCACTTCTGATAACTTCATCACAACAGACACAAGAACATTCATTTTAAACTCACAGCTCCTCCTCTTTCTGTCAGGTGTCGGTCAGGTGATATCTTTGTACGGGGCTCATTACGGACGCCTCGACAGCTCCGTGTGCTCTTTCCAGCGTCCAGTCAATGAAGTCCAAAATATCTACTGCTCCAAGGCTGTGAACAGAGTGGCTGAAAGGTACAGCTGCTCACTCTCCATGACTCAAACTCACTGCAGATTTCATACATCTTGCTCCCTCTTATTTCAACCTGTGATTCACGCTCATCACTCTGCACCCACAGGTGTAACGGAAAAAACAGCTGCACTATCCGAGCGAGCAACGCAGAGTTTGGAGATCCCTGTTACGGCACCTACAAGTACCTGGAGGTGGCCTACACCTGTCTCTGTAAGCTACTCACATGTTCACGTTAGCCTCAAGTGAAAAGGAACACAATGATTAGATTGGGAAGTTATTCAGAGGAGGTATATGTATCTCTGACACCTAGTATTTAAAATGAGTTGAAAACCACCTACCTTCTCTGGTCCAAACAAATCCAGAGCATTCAGGAGCAGAATCTAAAGTTAGAAGGAGGACATACTGGCTGCTGCATTGCTGTCAGAGAAGCCAGCACTTCAACATAGCATGTTTCCTTAAAGGGGTCATATTATGCTTTTTCTGGTTTTATATGCTCTTTAATGTGTTTTCCAAGTGTCCAAAAATTCAAAGTCCGCAGAAACGCGGCTCCTCCTACCTCCTCCTGTTAGCTGTAGCATTAGCTGCATGTAACGCTCGGTTCTAGCCCCTCTCGAAAAAAAATTGCCAGTGTGACGTCTTGTCAGTGTGAGATCACTGATCTAAGCCCATTGGCTCGTTGTGGCCCAGTAGCTCATGTTGCACGCCCGTTAACTTCTGTAGCACGCCCACGATATGCCGTAGCCTGCCGTAGCACAGTAGTGCTAAGGTGCTAATGTTTTTGCTCCCCTCGGAGCCAAAGTGGCTGCATTCCCAATATGGTAAAAGGGGCGTGACATTTCCGAGAACTGTGCTGAGCGACTGACCAATTACAGCAGAGCCAACAGGCCGACCAATCAGATCAGACTTGGCACACGTGGGGACTCTGAACGTGGGCACTTCAGAGCCTTAGAGAGAGAGTCAGAAGCGAGCCGGTGCACGGAGCAGCAGGACATGAAAACAGACACTTTTTATAACTTTAGTTATTGTGAACATACTTTAGTAGGAACATAGATTAAATATATGAACCCCAAAAAGGGCAGAACATGACTTCTTTAATGTCTGATCATATAGTAAGGTCACTTTATCATCTTAATGATTGGACATTTAGAGTTTAGTTTTATTCCTACTTTATTCTTAAAATGCAGAATTTAAGGAAAAAAATCTCCCTCCTCCACATTTCCCTCTTCTTTAAATATTTTCTAATTTTCAGTACCGCTCTCGATTTTGTTCTCCTCTAACATGAATTTGTTTTCTGTCTTTTTGCAGATCCTGTGTGAACGAGATGAAGTTACGATTATTCTTCCAAACATTTCGGCAAAATATCTTCAGTCTCCGTTTGCAATAACAAGAGAGGTGTTTTTTTGTCTGTTGCCTGATGAATCGGCTTTTTCAGATTTGAACTTGAACTTTACTTTCTACCCTTGCAGAGAGTTGTCTCTTGATATGTTTGTGAAGTCAAACTGAACCTTTCAATCGTCAATAAAACATGAATGAGGCAAGGGACCGGCTTCTTGTATTTCTTTTCTTCTACAGAGTTTTAATGATGTTCCCAGTAAATAGACATTTAGAGTCAGTTAGCTGTGTGTGGTTTTTGAATAAGACAAATGTTCAATGGATCAAACATGTTTTTATGGATTTAGTCTTTAACATGTTTTATTGGCCATTTCATTGATTTTTTGTTTAAGTATCTGCTTTAAAGAAAGAATGTGTGACTTTTTGATCCAGTAGATGTCGCCCTTGAGCTTCAGCATGAAACCAAAACAAACTGCTGTTTGGCCACGCCTCCTCCATACTGAAGCCTCCGCTCTCCTACAGAGACACACCTCCAACTGCCCTCCCCTTGTGTTTTCACAAAGGAGTTATCAATAAGAACGCACCATAATTAAGCACTATTAAGCCCAAGCGATGGATAAAATCGTGCTTAGCTTGAGCTGCATTGTTGTGTTAGCATGCTAATGTTAGCGCTCTTTAGTTAGCTCGTAGCTTCACATTGTTGTGTTAGCATGCTAATGTTAGCGCTCTTTAGTTAGCTCGTAGCTTCACATTTCATGTAAACTGACACAGAATGAGCGTGATCTAAAAACTCTTACTAACATCCAAATAATCAGTGAGTATGTTCTTCTTCTTCTCTCTGGTTCTTGACTAAAACAGCTTTTATACACAAGGGGAGGAGCCGGCCGTCCCGTCCATGTAAACACGGCTCTGACAACAACACAGCCAGCGGGACTCGAGCTTCTCCCTCATTGTAGACAGTCAGGACTCAGAGACACATTTACACAGGACAGACTTTATGATTTATTGATGTGGAACATGTCGCACAGTCTTCCTTTAAGTTACTGTTGCTTTAAGAGAGTTGTGCATTTCGCTCAGTGAGCTGGGATCAGCCTGGAGGCTTGACTAGTATCATCTCCTTGTGACACTTTTGGAGTAAAAGTTGTTTGTGCTTTTAAACCTAACAACAGCCTTTGAGTGGATGATTGCATGAGATACATCAGTGGTGGGTCTGGGGTCAAGTGGTTAGTTTTTGTGCCCCAATGCTAAGAGGAAGTAGTAGAGGATGTGTTTTCCCGCAGGTCATTCCTGACTCTCTCTCTTTTCCCCCCAATTTCCAGCTCTTTACAAATGTCCTGTCCCTCCACAAAAATAAACTTTAGAAAATAAGAAGTGTATGATGGACTACCAGCTAGCTTGCAGTTTTGTCCGTAACAGATTCAAACCAAACAAAGAACTTTCTCACAGATGTTTTATTGGGGTCACAGCAGCAGCAGCACGACACAGGACCATAATCAGGACCTCACAATTCATATCCACTACAAACAACAACATAAAATAAACAAAAATAAATAATTTCACATTGAGTGTATTTTAGTGCACATCAGATTTAAAAGTCGGCCTTCTATTCATGATAACTTTAACAGAAAAAACAAACGTAGTTCCAAATAAAAAAAACATTTTAAGCTCATGTTTGTGTGAAACGACCACGAAGGTAAAATCACAAACAGCTGGAAATGTGTGAATTTTTTTACGCTATATATCTGAGTGGTCCCTTTCTGTTGTGCACACGTCCCTTTGCTCTGCGATGGCGAATACTGGAGGTTAACGTTATGCCATGATATGACTCATCGAACATCCTTCATTCAACAGCTACATCGTTTCACTTTAACTCACAAACACAAATGTAAACACACAAAAAGTAGTTCCATCAATAAATAGCATTTCAATATGAGTAACTTTAGTTATGTACAATCGTAACCCTTTCACGGACGACATTTATCCACATCAGCCTGACAACTTAACCCCAAGTCTGCGCCTCTGGTGGATCAGCGCTACATGTTCTGAAAGATTTACCCCATATCCACAAAAATCTCCTTTAACCATATGGATTAGAATAAGAGATACATTTCATCCATGTGGCCAGAAATGTCTATTTCCTCGAATGATCGAGAACCTGAGAATCGGAGTAACGCTGGGTCACGTGTGTTGGTGTGCGACCTCTGGAGAAGACTTAGTTCAAGGTCGTTGTTGGGTTCATATTTATTATGTTTTGTCCCTTAATTTCTTATTTTTGCTTTCACTATTACCTCCTTTTCCACCAAAGTGAACCTGATGCTAGTGCTGGCTCAGAGGTGGTTCAACTTAAGAACCGTCTTAGATCCCGTTTGGGAAAGTGGACTAGCATGAACATTCAGCCAATTCTCGTCACAACAAGCTTTGAATTTGTTACGCTATCAAACCCAAGTGTTGGCTCTAGGGTTGTCACGACACCTGCATTTTAAACACCACGTTTGATATGATTCTAATATAAAACAACAGATATCGAAACCTGTTTCAATACCACGGCAACAAAAGGAAGTCTTAAGCAGACAATATTGGATTATTTCATGTTTTCAAAAATGCAGGCTAACTCCGGCACTCTGTCAAAAGTAGGTATGACAGAGGTATGAGATTTTTGGGGCCGATACCGATAGTTGCTTGATACGATAATATTGGCGGATTAAGCGGTTGGGCTCTAGTCGAAATTATACACAAAAACACCGTCAACATCTTTGTTCTTAAAATAACAGATATGGTTTGAGGTGTTTTATACTATTATTTACTAAAATAACAGAGATTGTATCATTTAAAAACATGTTGAATCAAAAAGTACTATTGAACATTTTGACGACCTAAGTTGGCTGGGAATTGATGGAACGCTCTAGTCAGACAACAGCTAACCTAGCCTTAGCATCAACCTTACTGCACTGTTAGCTAGAATCAGTATCATGCTACACTTTCAAGATAACTGATGAGTAATCAAATATATTGTTTTTTATTGTTGTTGAAGTATTGCCCAACGTCTTCCTGGATTTGCACTTCTGTCCAACATCTTGACCAACACGACGACATGTTTGAGATGGTGGGAGACTTTGATGACGGCTTTGATCGTTAAACGAAATGTAATGCTTCAACACGAGAGACACAAACTTGTTTCTTCAGTCCCAGGATCCACATATCTGAACCGACACATACGCAGTGATGACTAAACCCTTTTTCTGCACACATCACTAATTATTCTGCAAAATGCCCAACTACAGATGAACAGGAGGAGGAATGTAAAGGGAGGGAGGCATTCAGCAGGAAGAGGAGCGTTTGAGGGAGAGAGAGGAGGAAAGGAGTGAAGATGATGTAACCAAAGCCCCATGTCCAAGCGGTCCAGTTCGGACCGGTTTGGTACAGTACACATTTATTGGTGTTTCCAGGATCACAAGTTGGGAATGGTACCAAAATAACCGATCTGTACCGTCCTAATTTTTTGCTTCCCTTCTGTTGGGGTTTTAAGAGAAACCATCCGACCCTATCAGGCTCACCACCCCACCTACCAACTTAGGATATGATGGCTGTGGAAACACAAGATCAGGGGTAACCGTACCAAACTGTACTGAACCAAACTGGACCGCTTGGTGGAAACAGGGTTTTGGTGTACGTGTGTGTGTGTGTGTGCATGTGTGTGTGTTACTACTCTGTCTGGGGCACAGAGATGGCGGGGCCCTTGGGGTCGTCGAAGCGGTCCATGGTGCGGAGCTGCATGATCATGTGCAGGCCGTAGGTGAGGACCAGGACCATGAGGAGACTGGTTATCAGACCCATCCAGATACCGGGAGAGAAGAAGCCCGCACAGTCGCTGGCATACGAGAACTCACTGCTGCTCACGTTAAAGCCCTGGATCTGTGGAGTGAAGGAACGAGAGGAAGTGAGTGTTTTTAAGTCTCTGTAATCTTGATGACTCAGAGGGTCAAAATGCAATCGTATCGTTATTATTTCAGACGATAAGTAAAACGGTATCACACGGATAATCTTACCTGAAAGTCCTCAAAAGAGACCCTCCACTGGTTGGATGGATCTTTGGATGTGCGCGGGGTCAGAAGGGGCCAGCGGAAGTTGGTGACGGACTCGCAGCGGTACGAGTACTCAGCAGGAGCGTAGATGTGTCTGCTGCCGTTAAATGTGGCTTTGGTCCCGTCGTACTCGAGCTCCACGGCGTCCAGCGTGAACCAGCGGCGTGCAGACACTTTGTAGTGACGCTGACTCATAGCAAACCTGGAAAGACAAACGGACACGATCCAGAAAGTTCAACAGGTTTAAGGGGACAGGAGGAGACGGTGGTTTGTATGATACTCTCTGTAAACTGAGATGAACTCACATCAGTTTGAAGCTGCGGTGGCCGAGGACGTTCTCGTAGTTCAGAACCAACCTGCAAAGAACCACAGACTGTAAATATTTGATCACACTTTGAGATTCAGGACTAACAAAGTCCGACTGAACAATATCAGGTTGAAAAACTCTGATGGCACGGTAAGTTTGAAGAACACAAAAGTAAAATAGAAAACAAAACAAAGACCAAGAGCAGTCAAACCACAATCAAGTCAGGAGACACAGTTTACAGTTTAGTCTTTAGCTTATCATGACCTGGATGATTAAATCATCTGAATAATGTTTATCACGTTTTCCAGGAGACCAGATCAAATTGTTAAAATGCTCCTTTAGTCAATCCAACAATCAAAAACACAACAAATCTTTACTACAAACAAAGAAGAAAAGAAGAGAAGTCCTAACATTCAAAATAATGATTTTGCACCCCCTACTGCACGGAGGAAGAACTACCTCCCATACAAGATGTCAGATATTCTTTAATTTTCACATGATTTCACACTGATGACAGTCCTGGCCTGATCACATCCACCCTAGTCAATTTATTTTGTAAATACAGTGCCGCCTACTGGAAGAGGCTGTACTACATCTCATATACTTTTAATGTTTCTTCTAACATTTCTGTTTCTGCCTCACATCTGCACAGCCTGAAGATCATTGAAGATTTGATCTATTTTTTATGGTTTCACTTGGATTGAATTCAAACAGAATTCAGCAAACATTGATCTCCGGTGGCTTCCTGTAGTCAGATCATGTTGATAATAATTGTATTTGTTTAAGATGAATTTAAACACATGTAGGCAAACAACAAGCTCCTGCAGCCAGATCAAGACTGCCCCCTAGTGCTCAAGAGTTAACACAACATGTCACTTAAATATGAGGTCATGAGTGTTAGAGTTGATTATTCAAACAAAGGCTTCCAACAGTTTGCTTTCCATGGTGTTGACTACCTGGCTTTGGTTTTGTCGCAGCTCGAGCCGTGGAGTTTCGGGCTGACACCCTCCCCGAAGGTCGACGGGGTCAGATCATGATCCTCCCACGTACCGCTCCGAAGGATCTTCACGGACAGGCTTTTGGCCCACAGGAGGATGCAGGTTTCATCTCCCTCCTGTAAAGAGAGAGAGGAGGTGACTCTGGCACTCCTGCATGTTTTTACTGTCGTTCAACTTTTCTGATGAGACAAAAACGAGGCAGCAATCAAATGAACTCCACCTTAAATTCCACGGGTCCGTAGACCCCGGGTCTCTCCTTGACCTTGCGCTGCCTCTCCCTCTCCCTCTCCCTGTCCCTGTATCCTCCTCTGTACTGCAGCAGAGAGCGGCCTCCGCCCTGACCTGCTTCCATAGAGAGGGACGCCGCCTCCTGTAAGGAACAAGTTCATCATAAAACACGTTTCAAACTGCAGCAGAGCCACAACGACTCGTTCTAAATGTGTATTAACATGATGGATAACCCGTCAGCTCACCCTGGAGGGACGCAGGGCCGTGTAAATGGCCGTGTACGGGACAGACTGGCTCTTCATGATACTCATCACTTGACCAATCACCTCATCTGGAAAACAATATTGCAGCTATTAGCGTAACAGCTACGAGTTAACTTCTACATGCAAAGAAAGTGAAAAAAATCTTCATGTTATATCCATGAAGAGGAAGGCGAAGGGTTAAAAGGAGGAGGAGCCAGAATACACGAGGAGAATAATGAACGCAGACACTTTAAGGATTGACGGATTACACGGCAGACTCACCGTTTCCACTGAGAATCTCTTTTGCAGACATCAGATCGGCCCTGTGAGAACAGACGCAACAATAAGATATCGATTTAAAAAAAGCAATCACAGAAAAATCTGAATCCTGCACGCTCGTTCATCTTTGTCGCTCACACTGTCAGTAACCTCTCAGTGCACTTAGAATCAAATGTATCAACATTTATAATCCAGGAAGGTTCTGCTGCTCTTTTATGAGCCCTTTTTAAACCTTAGTTTGTTTCTGTAGTCGGCTGCTCAAACACATTTGTCAAACCTTTTACTAAGTCATAGCTCTGAGAAGACCCACATGACACCTTGATGCTTTTCGTTTTTCAGTTATGTATCATAATCTCACAAAAGGATGACAATAACAATGTGTAAATAGGAGTATTTCAATTAATTAGAGTACTCCAGAGTTTTTTTTTTACATTTGTAGGAAGGGGTGGGGGGAGGAGTCCAGGTCCCTTTAATCTGCTCACTATGATGCTTGTAAGTCTAAATGTATAATCCATCAAAACACAGCCGAAACTACTGTGCTGCTAAAGGTCATTAAGAGGTCAAAGGGGCGGGTTGCACTAACATAAACTTACTTTTTAAATCATTTTGTTAGATGTTATTAATTCCAGTTCCCAGCCTGACGTAGTAAAGTGTGTAACGCCTAACAAACTGTCACTTCCTCTCTCTCAATGTGCGTCTGGTGTACGTACCCGATGCCGTACGGCAGCCTGAACACCAGCAGGGCGGAAGAGGAGGCGTTCAGTCTCAGCTGACTCAGGGTCTCGGGGTCCATGTACAGAGGGGACGTTTCTAATTGGTCCTGCAGCTGACCAATCACTGCGTTGGAGGCCGGCCAGGACACAGCAGGTAAGACCAGACGGGAGGACGAGGACATGAGAGCCACCTGTGGCACAAGTGAAGCAAACATGCGTATTATTATTCACTTAAAGGTTTTACTTCAGTCTGATTTGTTTAGTTCCTTTATGTTTACTTAAGACAGGAACAGACACAGATTCAGAGTGTCAGCTTGATAATATTTAAAAACAGTCGATTACATCGTCTCACCTCGAGGTTAGGGTAAACACTGTCCTGCTTGTTTCCAAAAGCTCCTCCGTACATGGTGAAGTCCTCTATGCTCATCTGGGTGGAGACCAGGGAAGACATTTTTTTAACAACAATAATTTACATGGAGAAACTAAAAAAGTCCAGTTTAAAACGATTGTTGGATTGGGCAAAGAATGTGTAGAGTTGAGAATTTTAAATCGTTGTAAAGATACATGCAAAGTATTTTAAATGCAGAAAGGTGTCAGCAAACAGTCTTTTTGTCTGTTACTATGGTTACCGTGAGTTTAGGGGTTCAAAGTGGAGACCAATTGTTTAGTGATAAAGTGGCCTGATGGTCAGAGGTTTGAGTTGCCAACATTGACAGTTTATGAACTCTTTTTTTCCCCACAGTAACCTGCAGTGTGACTGTGGGCGAGGGTGCGTACCTTGTCCTGAAGGAACAGCACCACGTTTTTAGCGCCTTCATTCAGAGCTTTTTCCAGGTAAGAGGAGAGCTGCTGCTGCTCCACGATGTGACCGGCTGCAGGAGGAGCCTGAGTCGATGTGGAGACCCTGAGAGGTGGAGGACATCTTCAGATTATAGACACAGGTAAAAATCTTACAAACCGTTAAATAACATTTACAGGTAACACCTTCAATATTTTATAATTAATAGATCACAATTATTTTCAACTCAATTTACTCCTAACAACGAATCACCAACAGAGCTCTCTCCCCCCTGAAGAAACACACAAAACTACAATAAAACTACATTAGCGTGCAAACACAGATTATATATTGTGATTATAGTTATTTGTGGTCGTTTATTATACTTAAATGTATAAAGAAAATATGATAAAGGGATATTTTTATCTTTTCTGAGTTTTGCAACAGCTGGTAAAGAGATTTTCAGATTCTTTTGGTGAAATATGAATTTAAAAAATGTGATAAATTGTCCATAAATAATTTAAAATGTATTGACCAACTAACCTAAAACATTGTTCTTTATATTAATAAAGAAATTGTTTTATTAATCTTAATCTTTTTATCTGAAACCAGGATTTCATAAGAATAACACACATCTTGTATTTGTCAAATATTTTCTAACCTTTCATTTGTATGTGCGCTTATATTTTACTTTATCATATTAACAGTTTTAGTTTTATTATTATTATTTTTATTATTATTATTATTATTGTCGTATTAAATCTTAATTATCATATAACACACAGGTGATTCAATAACACCTGAAAGATGTGAGCCAAATAATGTGTTTCACTGAAAAAGAACCTGAATTCACATCATTAGTAATCCACAAATAGTCAGAATATTAATAATTTAAAGATTAATATATTTATATATTAATCTTTACATTAATAAAACGCTGTTTTTAAACGACAGATGATGATGACACCTGTCATTCATTAGGATATCATGATACACTCATTTTAATTCAATATTTAAATCGTCAGAATAAATAATAGTTTGGACTGAATGTTATTTATAATGTATCAGAGAAGGTTAATTTAATAACATCAGCTAACCGTTATTAGCTAAACGGTTTGCAACGAGCGTCAAACCATCCGTCCATAGATCCGCCTCTCCTCCGTTAATTCACCATTAAAAGACACACTTAAATCAACATTTCTTACCCTTCGCTCGTCCACAGAATAAGCGGCACCTGCTCGTCGCATTTTGCCGAGTTTAATAAGCTGAATAAAGCGAGCAAAACGGCCAAAGACGTAGAGATGCGCTGAAGGTGCATCGTCCCTGTCGTCGCCATCTTTGGAAGCGCTCTCTGACAGCAGGTGGTGACGTCAGCGAGGTCACATGACGTAGGGATGAAGGAGATGAAGGAGATGAAGGAGAGGCTCGAACCTCGTTCTCATCATGGTTTTCACGCGATAAACATTTAAATAAAAATATAAAGTATTTGATAATTAAATAAATATTTAAATAAAAATATAAATAAAGTATTTGATAATTAAATAAATATTTAAATAAAAGTATAAATAAAGTATTTGATAATTAAATAAATATTTGAATAAAAATAAAAATAGTCTTTGATAATTAAATAAATATTTAAATAAAAGTATAAATAAAGTATTTGATAATTAAATAAATAATTAAATAAAAGTATAAATAAAGTATTTGATAATTAAATAAATATTTGAATAAAAATAAAAATAGTCTTTGATAATTAAATAAATATTTAAATAAAAGTATAAATAAAGTATTTGATAATTAAATAAATAATTAAATTAAATACAAATTATATATTTATATTATATATAAAATTAAATATTTAAACTCTGCAGGACAAACCATCAGTCCTGGGGGGACAGGGCCTTCTCCATTGCTGATCCCACTCTCTGGAACCCCCCCCCCCCCCACACACACACACATTCACTTCCTCCAAGAACTCCCTAAAAACTCACCTCCTCAACATGGACTACAACCACTGCCAATCTCAACTCTCATCCTCCTTCTTTTACACCATTTCTTTGTTTTGTTATTAATAATAATAAATACAAATTGATACAAAATACAAACGTTAAAGTCCTGTTTTGTCACAGGTGCAGGAGGCTGTGAGAAGGCGAGCAGCAGAATTCTGGATACATAGAAGAATAGAATACAATCCACTTAAGCCTACTTGCACTTAGTATAATTTTTAGATACTCTATTATTTGTTTACTTGTTTTTTTAAGCTCTTTATCCTTCTGCTTCACTAGTTTGTAAAATAAATATCGCCCGTTTTAAAGTCTCTTAAGAGTTCACTGATCTATCCGTGATGAAATGTTAGTGTAATTACCTGAAGTACTGTATTTAAATAGAGTACAATGTAAGGGATTGTGAGCTTAGGTCTCACAGAATCGTTCCACAGACTAAAAAAAGAACACACTGTGAAAATGATGAAAAGTCGGGTACTTTTATGGGCATTCACATCGTGTACAGTAGGAAAGAGTTGCATTCACAGTAAGGCAGTACATGTATAAAACAAGCACAGATCTCGTCGCCTTGGCCTTCCCTTCCTTATAAAAGCCATTCATCTCTGTGATTAAATAAGTTATATACATCTGTAACGAGGAAGAAGAAGAGGTCGGAGGATGGAAAGATCTCCAAGAAAAACTCGGATTGTAAAACTTCTTCTGAAGAACTTCCAAGAAACTTCAGTTAAACATCAATGTTGACAGATTTAAAGCAGCATGGACTTAATAGAAGAAAAACATTTAAAGGAAGAATGTGCGACATAAATAAATCATAAAGTCTGCCCTGTGTAAATGTGTCTCTGAGTCCTGACTGTCTACAATGAGGGAGAAGCTCGAGTCCCGCTGGCTGTGTTGTTGTCAGAGCCGTGTTTACATGGACGGGACGGCCGGCTCCTCCCCTTGTGTATAAAAGCTGTTTTAGTCAAGAACTAGAGAGAAGAAGAAGAAGAAGATTATTTGGATGTTAGTAAGAGTTTTCACGCTCATTCTGTGTCAGTTTACATGAAATGTAAAAAAGAGCGCTAACATTAGCATGCTAACACAACAATGCAGGACATGGGATTGCAGCTCGAACCAGGGAGGATTTTGTTTGCTGCTTGTGCTAAACACCTTCATGAGAAAGCGATTGGAGGGGGGTTGGAGGTGTGTCTCTGGAGGAGAGCGGAGGCTTCAGTATGGAGGAGGCGTGGCCTAACAGCAGTTTGTTTTGGTTTCATGCTGGAGCTCAAGAGCGACATCTACTGGGATCAAAGAGTCGCACATTCTTCCTTTAATCATAAAATAACACAATCCTAACAGTCATGTTCTCCGCGTGCCTCTCGTATCACACTAGTTAACCACTTCCTGTTTCTGTGCTTAACTTCATGTCCTAACCTTCACTCTGAAGGAAGGGCCTTACTGTATTTCAAAATAAAAGCACACAGCAAGTGAAGTACTCTCGGTGTAAGACAGGACAAACATTTCAAAATAAAAGCCTATCAAGTTTTTATTTTTAAATGTGAAATAATGGAATTTTACATTTTTAATCCTTTGACAGCCCTAATTATGTATACTAATAATTAGTATGAAAACAAACATCTGCTTTTAGTGATGTTCACCTTGAAAATATGAACATTTTAGACACTTCTGTAAATGCCCTGAATATATTTTACTCTAATTTGTACGTTTTCACATTTCTTGCATGTAAACTGCAAAATAAACTATATTTCCAGTTTGGTGAGGCAACTAAAACAAAGTTAGTTTAAACTCTAATCCTTTAAATTATAAATGCTAACACTCACACCCTAATGGCCTTGATGCATTCAAGGTATACGCAACTTCCTGCATTGGCACGGCACATAAATCCTGAGGCATTGAATCATCGGGCAGAATCACTCAAACTCTGAGTGTCTGAGAAGGAGAATAACTAAAGCTCAGCTAAGAAGCTCACATGTCGAGTTAAATGAGAAACATTCATGACTTTTTTTTTTTTCCCTGACTGACTGAAATGAGCTCTCAGCGTCAGACTGGCTGGCCGTAGATCACACACAGGTTTGTATTTAAGTAACTCCAGTCCATTAGTCCATTTCACACATTTGCAGATTCTGTATTTAACTAAAACATGACTCCTGCCATTCTAGAAATCTTTGTGTTGCACCAGCATGAATCAGTTTTTGATCCTGAGCCGACAAAATATCCAGCAAAAAAAATGTTCAACACATTCAAACCTTGAGACTCAACGACTTCTCTGTTTGAAAGGTTCAACGATAGCGGAGAGGAGAGACCAAAACACAAAGAATCACGTCGTGTGGGTGGGTGGATTTCAAGTTGAGAAGGTGTTACCCTCGGCTTGGGGGTAAACGATCTTCAGTCATGTTGGGCTGTGAGGAGTGTGGCAGGATAAAGTGGGATGGCTGGGACTCATGATTTGGTCTGTATCTGCCCGTGGAGGGCCTCCGCCTGGGTCTTCAGGCTCCAAAACTCCCCCTGGATGAAGTCAGTCAACGTCTTCCTCATTTCCATCTGAAAGAAAGATTTAAACCAGAAATAAAGATGAAGATAAATTACCTTTATGATGACCAATTCAGACCATTCAGACCAATTCAGTATGGTTTGAAAACGACCTCCCAAACAGGCCCGGCTCTAGATTTGGGGTTGAGGGTCCAGCCCAAGGACCGACTCTACCACTGAGCCACAGCAGCTCCTCATTTATAGCTTTAATTCTGTCCGTCTACATTTTCAACAGGCGCCTGCAAATCCAAACACTCTGAAGTCCTTGTTGGTCACAAAGTTAAACAGAGTTAAATAATTAAAACATGTTTAATCTGTTCTGATGCTGCACAGTGTGTACAGGTGAAACTCGTCCCGTCCTCACCTGGCTCTTGTTTTCAGCTCGCAGAGATTCAACGATGTCCTTCAGGTTGAACGGTTTCCCCACCAACACTGTGATTCTCTGCAAGCAAGCGAGCAAACCCACAGTGACGCCCAACGTCGCATGATACAGGTAACAAAGACTTCAGGTCATGAAATGTAAAAAATGAATGCTGTTAGGATGAGATGGATTTGTTCTCACCTTGCCAACTCGGGGAATGTAGGGCTTCACGTTTGGCAGGACGTCGCTCAAACCTGAGAACACAGAAGAAGAAATCAGGGATGAGTTATCAACATCTTATAAAAGATAAGGTTGGAGATGTTTTATAACGATTCTTTATTCGTATCAGTGTTTTTGTCACTTCTTCAGACTTTCAAGGACATAAGATTCAGCTCTTCGATTATAGCCGTGAGGATGATGAAGCTCTTCCCACTCATCAGTCTGTTTTTGCTTCCTGCCAAATTCCACACTCAAGTAGAGTTTTCACGCTTACTGTAAAGAAAACTCCCGATATTTGCAGGAGGAGCTGCATGTGTGAAAGCAAGCAGCTGAATGTTTCCTCACAGCGCAGCAGGTGAGTTTAGGAGTGGATACAATTCAGCGATTGGACGAGATTCAAACCGGTGAATATGATGGACGTGGACGTAGCAGCAAAGAAGAGAAAATATAATGAGAGTGAGGAGAAACACCGAGTGGATAAAGCTCGTTCTAAAACGAGGGTGAACCTTGTGTTGTCTTTTGTGCGTTAGCTTTCAGTGTAGCTACAAGCTGTAAACGTACACACTACAGCCGGAGGAGGAGGGGATCAGTGTGAATGTTGTGTTTACTTTTGTCTACCGACTCCATCTTTAATTCTTCAGAGTAAAACAATGAAGCAGCAGAACAGGTGAGATAGCATGTTGTCATCTGAAGCGGTGTTACTCACCTACGTGCCACAGCGGCAGGATGATGGGATTTAGGGAGCAGTCAGCTATCAATCGACCCACGCCTGAAACACAGAGAGCAGAAATGATCATCTCTCTCAGAGAAGAGGCATTTTGTAAATCTCCTATCTTATAGCTATGAACGTTTGCCATGCGCCCCCCATCACAGTGGGACAAAGATTTACAAAATAAATCTCTGTACTCACCCCATTTTAACCGTATAAATTCTTCTGTCATGTTGACTTTGCCTGTTAGAGAGGACGGAGAGAGGAAGCTTTTATTTATTTACTCAGACTAAAAGCTGGAACACACCCTGTGACTGACGGGCGACCAGTCCAGAGTGTTACCCCGCCTCTCATCCAATGACAGCTGGGGTCGACTCCAACCCCCCGGTGACAGAAAAAGCGGTATTGATAATGGATGGATGGAAAACTAAAACACAAACAGGGAGGAACTTCTAAAGATGAAAGAAATATATTAAATGTGATGAAAAAGGTGAACGTACCTTCTGGAAAAACGTGCACCCACTCTCCTCGGTTCAGTTTCTCTAGAATGAAATCCATGCCTTTCTGGTAAACACCATCCCCTACAGGAAACACTTCATGTCACTAAGAAGGACACACTTGAGCTTCAGCCGCTCCGCAAAGGGAGGTCGTCGCTTTCAGAGAAGGACTTAAGACGTCCTAATTATAATTCAGTGGACTCCTTCTCTCAGGCAGGATCCACAGAAAGTCCTGGAGCACACGAATCACTGCAGGCACATTTACTTTTGGTGCAAATGACTGAAGTTTACACCCACTGCATCTTCCTCAGAGTCAAAACATCTCTTTAAAATCTGCCTTAAGTGATGCTCCAGTACTTTCTTTGGATACTTCCTGAGAGAAAGAATCCATCGAACTATAATCTGAACTTGTTGTCTTAACAGTTAAAGGAAGACTGTGCGACATGTTCCTCATCAATAAATCCTAAAGTCTGTCCTGTGTGAATGTGTCTCTGAGTCCTGACTGTCTACAATGAGGGAGAAGCTCGAGTCCCGCTGGCTGTGTTGTTGTCAGAGCCGTGTTTACATGGACGGGACGGCCGGCTCCTCCCCTTGTGTATAAAAGCTGTTTTAGTCAAGAACTAGAGAGAAGAAGAAGAACATACTCACTGATTATTTGGATGTTAGTAAGAGTTTTTAGATCACGCCTCATTCTGTGCTACGAGTTTACATGACATGGCTAGCAAGGCTAACTGCATGACAATGAACTGCAGACTGAGCGCTAACATTAGCATGCTAACACAACAATGTGAAGCTACGAGCTGACTAAAGAGCGCTAACATTAGCATGCTAACAGAACAATGGAGCTGGAGACTGAACAATTTTGTCCGCCGCTTGCAATATACTCCTTCATGCCAACACAAGTGGGAGGGGGTTGGAGGTGTGTTTCTGAAGGAGAGCAGAGGCTTCAGGATGGAGGAGTCGTGGCCTAACAGGAAGTTTGTTTTGGTTTCATGCTGGAGCTCAAGGGCGACGCCTACTGGATCAGAAAGTCGACACATTCTTCCTCTAACAGTGAGACAAAGTTGGTTCTGAAACCCAGACGTTGCCTCACCTCTGACCACAGGAACACACCTCCCACGGCTGAAGAATCTCGAGTGCAGCTCTCTTGTGAAACAGATGTCGGACGCCGCTGGAGTCCTGAGTGATTCCAGGTAAACAATCGTACAACTCAGAAGCAGAATCACAGAAATCACTGAAAAAACGAGTGAATGTAAATAAACTCACCAGCGCATCTTGTTGAAGCTCCACAGCTGCCTGAGCTTTAAGATACCTGTTGCAAACACACTTCATTACCTCAGCTGTTTTTCCTGACTGCTTTTAACTGAGTAAGAATTCAGACGCGTGTCGTTCTTTACCCCAGATGTGCGGGTCGTCCATACGGACTGGTCTTGTTGAAGCTCCACAGCTGCCTGAGCTTTAAGATACCTGTTGCAAACACACTTCATTACCTCAGCTGTTTTTCCTGACTGCTTTTAACTGAGTAAGAATTCAGACGCGTGTCGTTCTTTACCCCAGATGTGCGGGTCGTCCATACAGGACTGGTGATTGGACACGGTGATGAGGGGCGTGTCCGAGGGCCGCCGGTCAATCAGGTCCAGTAAAACCTCTTGGTTGTGGATCGTCAAGTAGTTCATGTACTCTGAAGGAGAAGAACGTTTATTAGCGGGAGGAATGTTTCTGTTCAGGTGTGTGTGTGTGTTTATAAATGATCAGCATCATCAGGGGGGTATCACCTCCACCATCAGGGTCTAGACTCCATCAGGGGGGTATCACCTCCACCATCAGGGTCTAGACTGCATCAGGGTCTAGACTCCATCAGGGGGGTCGTTGTGAAACATGGGTTTAAAGAGCATCTGTGTTATAGGACATTGAAGACCGTCCTCATTCCTACTTACTGGTCCAGAAGTAAGAATAGGAGCCCACCATGCCCATAACCAGTGAGCCGGAGAGCCTCCATGCCAAAGTGGGGCACTGTGGGAACGGCCATCTGACCTCCAGGGGCATCACGGCGCTCCACGTACACTACATCAACACACACCTTCACCTGGAATCATGAAGACAGAGTTACCCTAACCCTAACCCAGAGGACAGATTAATGATTCAATATCACTCACTGAAATAACAAGTATCTAAAGGTCTGTCTCATTTTAATCATTCAATTCAAACATTGTGACTTCTTAATCTCCAAAATCATCTTTACTAAATTAAAACCAGCATCATTCATTTATTATGTTTCTACCTGCGACTGAGTCTGTACAACAATGGCTACTTCACGTTAGCATCTTAGCTAACTGCTTGTTAAAGACACATTCAGGTCAGAAACTCGTTCTTTAAATATAAATATAGACTCATTAATTTATGGTTAAGCTGCCTTGTTTGCTCACAAAACACGTTCGCTGTACTGACAGTCTATCAACAGATATCTGTCAGCTTTATATTCAGCACTCTTTCTCTATTTTCTTAAAGAAACGGACAAAAAGCGGGTTTTATTTACACTATATGGAGTTAAAGTTGAGTCTTTATTCACAGTTCGTTATTTAAAATGTTAAAGAGACTCCACAAACTGAGGGAGAGAAGAAAACACAACAAGATCAAACATTTTCCTCACCTTTCTCCTGCTGACAGGCGGATGGTCACTGACCCCGGATGTGAAAGCCGCGCAATGCGTCGTGGGTACTGTAGTTCTCTTTTTTTTTTTTTTTAGAGGACGTCTTTTTAACTTGATACTTTTTTTCATTTTTGTGTTTTACTCAACGTTTCCTTTTTTTTATAAGCTTTACTTTTTTATTTACAGCCTAATTTACGACAATAACGCACGTTACGATGATCATATCGCGTTTGTTGTAGTCAGACTGTAGTCCACAACCCGCTTCCGTGCTGAGAAGTGCGGAACTCTGGGTAATGGATGAGGTGAAGTAGGGCAAAGGTGAAGCTTTTCTCCTGCTTTGACCTGCTGTTACTGAGTAAGTTACTCTGTATGGATAGAACTGGAGTTAGAAAAAATAAACAAAATAAATTTGTTCAAATTAAAGTATTGAGCAAAACATTCTCAGTGAGACGTGTTTGAAGCCCTGAAGGACTTTTAGCAAAGTAAAAGGAAACTCCTGTGCTTCAGCCGCTCCACAAATGGAGGTCGGTGCTCTCAGAGAAGGACTTAAAGGTCACATATTCTGCAAATTAGACTTCTCCATGTTCCTCTAACTCTAACATGTATCTCTAGTCCGTCTACAAACCCCCCAATGATGAGAAAAGTCCATCCTCTCCGTCTTCTGCCTGCTCCACTTTTCAGAAAATGTGTACTCAAACAGGCCATTTGGAGATTCTCCCTTCATGACATCACAAAGGGCAGTAGCCCCTCCCCCAGGTGGGTGACACTCCCACAGCTAGGTGTTTGTTCTGCCCTCTGAGTCTGCCTTCTCACCGTAAACAATAGGACATGGAGCAAGAAAGCACCGAGTACACCCAAGCCCTTCCAGAGAGGGGGCGTGGTCAAACACTGCTCATTTACATATTTAAAGGTACAGACACAGAAACAGCCTGTTCTGAGCAGGGCTGAAATAGAGGGGTTTATAGACATGATCAAATACAGGATCAGAGTGGATTTAGAACAAGAAACTTCACACACGTTTTGAGGAGCTCTGAGACTTTTTAACTTAAAGAAGAGGAGGAGGATAAGACTTAATATTATGATGTAATTCTGCATTTTACCAAAAGAAGGATCTGTAAGTCATTATCATAAGGATGCATGTCGACTGATGTTCACCACTTTGCCCCACCTAACGCAAAAACAATCGACTCTCAGACTTTTAATAATTCAAAAAACCTTTATTCCAACATTTAAATCACAAAGATTATAAAAGTCCCATGAGCCTGAAGCACAGGACGGATAAACTTCTTCACCCTTTTCAATAAGTTAATTCTGACTTTTTGTCAGAGCTTGAAATTTAAAAAAACACTTAAACCCACTCTGAACTGAATGGACGTAGATTTACATTTTACAAACGTCATCAGCAGTTTGTAAACACAAAGGTCACACGCTCTCACTCAAAATATATATATCCTCACATTCAGATGTGTGCGTCTGTGACGTAAGATCGCTCTTACACAAGAGGAGTAAAATAATATGTGAAATAACATTAAAAAAAAAAAGATTTCATTACATCTCAGCATCTTAAGAGGTGACTCCAAACACACACACACACACACACGTTACACCGTTTGTGGTTCAGAGAAACAGACGTTCACCAGCTGGGAGCGAGGGCGTTCAGTCCCTTCAACGCCACCTCAAATCCCAAAAAACAGGCCTGGAGGAGGAAAGTGAAAGAAAAGAAAAGGGGGTGTCAGAGGGTTTAAAAAAAAAGGTAAAAGATGCTGAGAGAACGAGCAGAGTGAAGGTTTACCGCGTTGGCAGGGAAGGCTCGTAGAAAAACAGCGTTGAATCCTTTGTAGAGCGCTTTAGGTCCTTCTTCCCTGAGCAGCGTTCTCAGCACGTCGAGGAGACCGCGGTACTTTCCCTCTGCAGCTGCAAACACACACACATGCAAACACACACATGGGAGACATTAAAGGATTTATCTCAGACTATTTTCAGATGTCAGTCGACTTTGCATTTTAACCACCTCCAGCAGCTGGATGTTTCCACTATTTGTGTTTATAAATGTCTTTTTTTTTAATACAGTTTATCACAGACTGTAAGTATAAATGGATGCAGCCTGAGTGACGTCACCCGTCTGTCCCTGCAGGGGGCGCTGGAGTCCCATCGATGGCGGTCTCCATGCTGGAAATGCTGTCTCAGTCTAACTTTCAGTCAACCTAACGGCAGGCTGAGAGCTGGAGCTGAGGCGGGTTTTAAACCTCCTGACAAACCGTTACACCGCGCCCACCTGTCAATCAGGTCAGCTACACGCCTTATTGTGAATAACTCTTATCCTTCATCAAATCAAAACTGATGAGTCATCAAAACATTCACCCCCCGTGCAGTGTGTGTCCATCCAGACATGAGCTAATCACACCTATTTGGTTTTTTGAACCAGGCTGTAAACATGTTCATCTCTGCTGTAAAAACAGGCTTTTTAGAATGGGTGTATGTGACTTCCTGTGCTTCTGCAGCCAGCCTCTAGTGGACAGTTGAGGAACTGCAGGATTTTACGCGTCAGCATCGCTTCATTAGAAAACGGATTAAAATTCATCATGAAAACATCGCAGGATCACATGTAAGGGATTACAAGTAGCTCGGTGTAGAGCTCGGTGTCGTCTCTCACCTGTCTGGAAGTTTGATTTGAGGACGTCTGGAGGAAGAGCGATCGTCCAGTTTAGTATCCCCGCTATACCACCAGCCAGGATGATATTTGGAGTGCTGAGCTGAGAAACTGACAACATAAAGACACAAATAAGATCAAAGATGAGGTCAACAGAATTTAAAAGATAGGTAAAACGTGTGCAAGCAGCAGTGACAGAAAAAGCTTTTAAAGTACTGAAAGTAGTAGTGGTTTACATCCGGGTATTTCTCTCATACACAGAATGACATAATATGATTTTGGATCATACTTCATACTGAATGTGACGTCCCATTGAGTAAGAATAGTATGATAGTAAAGTTGAGTAAAAGTTTGTGCATGAAAATAAAACACTATCTGTTAAAAGATTTTACTTAAGTGGAGCACTCGAGTAAATGTAAATTACACCAGGGGTGCATGCAGTGTAACCATGGTTACTTACCTTTGACCCTCAGGTGTGAGAAAGTTTTTGAGGTATTCATAAGTCATGAAATAAAGACCGTTAGAAGGCACATCTGACAAAGAGAGAGAGAAAGAAAGAGAGAGAGACGGCAGAGTGAGAACACATGAGGCTGTAAAAACTCTGTGCTGCACTTTGGATCCAACGATCACTACAAACACATGTTTTTCTTTGTTCCCGCTGGAACATTACACAACAGACACTCAAAGACATCAGGGCATCTTTTCTTATCTCCTGAGGGCCAGATAAACACGGCTGATTGTAAACATGTACATGTATTGAAGGACACGACTTAGTACTTCATTTGACTTAAGACGACCTATTCTGCTGATCTTCATTTAAAACTTACATATAGTATTATAACGCTCGATGCCCAAACTAAACGCAGGCAAAGTGTCAGATCATGAAGTAAACGTATGTTGGAGTAATCCCAAGATAAACCTGCAGAGGGCGCTAAACTGAAATCACACCACAGTTCCATCGTTATCAAGCCAAGAATTTCACCAGACGTCTTCAAGCCTCTACATAAGCTTTACATAGACTCTCTTCTCCCAGCCGTGTAGAGCAGCCCTTACCCTGGCAGCCCTGCAGCGTTCTGCCCCCCTTGAGAGGCCTCCAGAGAGCTGGCCAATCAGAAGGAAGAGGGCACAAGGGGAGGGCGGGGCCTTAAAGAGACAGCAACTATAACGAACTGTTTCAGGCAGTCTGAAATTAGGTTTTTTACTGACACCAGTATCAGATAAATAAAGAGGATTTTGAGATTCTAATCCTGCAAAGTTGCTCTAAAGGTTTCACAGACTGACAACAGGAAAGGTGAACGTGAGGATAATTTGGGATCTTGAAGTATTTCCATATGCTGCACTTGACTTTGCGAGTATAATTTATGCTAACTCTTTCCATGGTTGAACTTTTACTTTCTTTTTTTTAATATATATTTTCTTTTTATTCAAGTTAAGTTCAAGTGAAACTGGTGTACAGCATTTTTAAATAGAAATATTTTTTTCTGAAGATAAAAGACAAAAAATAAAAACAGACATACTATAAACATAAAAGCACAACAGTCCATGTGTAGCAGAGAACCAGGGGAGTTACGGTACAACATCAGCTATTTACCTGAATCTGTTCTGTGTGGTTTATAAACTCAATCCATCCTTTCCAACATTCATCAAATACATCACTCTTCAGTCTCAAAATAAATGTTAATTTTTTCATTACAAAGATGTTGTGCATTACATTGAACCAGTCTTCTAGTACAGGTGGGCCTCGACATCATCTTTTTTTGTTATGGCTTTATTTGTGCTTCTTTCACACCAACAGGTCACTGCGGCGCTCACCTCTGATCAGAGTCAGCACAGTCCCTTTGTAGACACTGCGGAGCCCCTGCTCCTTATAGAGCCGGACTGCACAGTCCAGAGGACCCGCATACCTGGACTGTCCACCGCTGGCCTGCACCTGGAAAAAAAACAAAAAACATTTACTACATTTAAATCTGCAGTTTTCAAGACTCCAGATTCACACATGAGGAGACCTGCAGCTCGAGGTTTAATTGACTTGAATGTATTAAAGTTAGAGGTCCTGACTTTGAACTTTGAACTCTGGGTCACTGTGAGAAACATCTTACAAACCAAACACTCACTAAAGCTAATATATGAATCTGAATGTTGTCGTCACGTCGTCCAAACAGTCACTGATTAAACTCTTTACCTGCAGTAAACATTTGACTCTCTCTCCTGGAGCTACGATGACCGTCGTGAAGACCCCCGCCAGACAGCCGGACAGGAATATCTGCGTGTTCCTGAACAGAACAGAAAAGATTCACTTCCAGCGAGCTGAGAGGAGCTGCAGAACATTCAGACGCTTTCACACCTGCACTAAACTCCTGAAAAACTCCTGAAATTTCCCAGAGGAGCTGCATGTG